TCCCCTCCCTATATATATATATATATATATGTATCTTTTCTTTATATATTTCTGCTTTGTTTTCTGATCAATATTTTTTTTTGGGGGGGGGCGCAAAACACTTTTATTTTGTGTCTGAAAATAAATAATTTTGAAGAGGGGATACACGTGAGTTTGCTTCGCATAACACAAACAACAACAGAAAAATTATAACAAAATACTCTAAGATTTTCTTTGCTTTGTTCTCTTTTTTTTCTCTCTCTCTCTCTCTTTTGAGACACTAAAAACAAAGCAAAGAATTTTACAACTAAAATGCGCAACGCAAAAGCAAATGAAGAATCAGTTCTTCAAAATATTTTAACTCTTTTTTTTTGTTTTTTGTTTTTTTTTTTTAGCATCCCCTCTTTGAAAATTATTCATTCAAACAAAGTGTTTTTGGGAAAAGTGTTTATAGATACAATCAAAGGTCACATGTTAATAATATTCGAATTTTGGTTAGTTAAGAAATGCAAATGCCAGAGAGTTTGGGATATATATTTTCGGAAGGAAATTTATAACGAATTTATTTCCAAAAAAATGCAATGCTTTATTCGGCAAAAATAAATTAATTTTCCGTTTAACGAATTCCTCTTGAGATTATACTATTATTGTACGCTCAGGGGACTGCCCACTGTACCGAAAATATGGTGCCTGCACAGACACGCAGCCCAAGCTGTACCGTTCTTTCATTCTTGGTCTCGTGTGCCCGTGATTAAATTATACCTGGTGTTGTATTCGCTCTCTTTTCGCCAATCGCCCGCCCTCGTCTTTCGTTTTGCTTACATCTAAGCTCTCTCGCTCTAGCTCTAACGATCTCTAGCTTTCGTTTGACTTCGGCTAGCAGCAGCAGCTCAGCTTTCGGCTGGCAGCAGCAGCATCAGCAGGAGGTACTCCCCCTCCCACTCCCACATATGCGACGGAACGTATATTTTCATACGTTTGCAGTGCGTTTGTGTGCGTGGGCAGCAGGCGAAACGGAACAAGGGAAATGTGTTATATAGAACGCTTTCCTATGGACTGTCGCTGCCGGCGTCCGCTTTAGCAGCAGCTAGCAGAGTGCTCTGCCTCTCCCTCTCCCACTCTTTCAAAGCTTCGTTTTGCATTTAGTGCAGGCGTCGGCACGCATATTTTCACGTTGGTGTGGGTGGGCAGCAGGCAAAACGGAACAAGGGCTATGTGTTATACTGTTATACGTATCCTATGTCTGTCCTATGGACTGTCGCTGCCGGCGCCTGCTTTAGAGCTAGAGCTCCTCTGCCTTTGGAATACGATATTCTGCAACTGTCATCGTGACACTGCAACAAACAATACTGGAACCCTTTTTCTATCTATCTTTATAAATCCATAAATTAAACATATTTAAATCGAAACAATACCCCCCATTCATAAAAAAAACCAAAACAAACATCAGTTAACACATTGCCCATTGTTTTTTCCAGTGTCTCAAAGTCCAGCTGTGAATCAGCACGTACGCTCTCGTCTCAAATTCACATGTAATCCGAAAATTTCTGTTGCAAACCAACGAATTTGAATACCTGTCTTCGATTTCGTGATAGCCCCCATGGAGTTTTCATATCAAATTGTAGCGACAATTGACGAACTATCGGTGCGGTGTCACAGCTAAATATAGCTCCAATTTTATACCGATCGTTCGGTGATTTTTCTCACAACTGGTAATTGGCCGATATGGGGGAAAAATCCAGCCGCTTGGCGTGTGCCATGGGCAATGCACTAGAACAGACGGCAGACAGTATAAAAGCCACAGCGATCGCCACAGACAACTTACAGTTATCAAACGACAGCCAAGAGAAGACAAACAGCACATCGGAGAAGCAATTCAGTCGCCGTAGCAGTCCATAGCAGAAGCACCTAAGACCCCATCAAAGCCTATCCCTCAGGCGGTACCAGATTTAAGGAATCCAAAAGGCTTTCCAAAAGGGCTTTTTGGCAACATATTCGGCCTTTAGGCGCATTGGATAGTCATCTCATACTAGCATCGAACAACCCAAATGCAGGCGAAGGGACTGTGTCGGAACCAATAAACAATCTTTCAGCCAAGTTGCTGAAGATTTTAGCTAAGACTTAGTATATATCTAAGTATCTTAGTATAACTCTAAGTAGCACCAATTAATAGTGCTTTAAAAAATGTGTGGTAAAACGCTTTAATATTTAAAGCTTTTATTCCACAAAAATTATTTATAAGGAATGATATATCCAAAATCTGATACGATTAATAGTCGCGCTTATTTAAAGCACATTTGTACAGTTTATGAGTCTGTGATAATTAAAGTTTCAAACTAAAACAAATACAAATTCTTTTCACTGCGATTTAAATTAGATTACTGATTGATTTGGGGAATTTCCTCACAACGAATTGCGATTACGCTTCGGCTACACCCACTATGCTACACCACACATTTCCACTGCGAACCAAAACTACTTTTCCTGATCAATTTGGGACTTTAAAAAAACATTGCGTGTGCATGATGCAAACATGAATCCCTTACTTGAGTTTCGCTGATAAAGAATGTTTTTTTTTAGCTCCCAATACCCGATACTCAATCCGCCAGAGGGCGCACACATTGCACGACGAAGAGTGTGTGGGAGAGAGACTTTTCTGGCATTCTGGCTATAATAATAGTTCGATCTAATCCAGATTCGGCAATCTAGTAGATGTGGTCAATCTCTAAGATTCTGCGTTTTTGGTCTTCTTGTAACTTCCAAATTTTAGATGGCACAGACTTTACTTAATTCAGTGTGATATCACAAGAGTCTGGATACAAAATTTCTTTGCTCTAGCTCTTATAGTCGCTGAGGACTAGACAGACAGGGCTCAATCGACTCTTCTAATGATGGTGACCAAGAATATATATACTTTATGGGGTCGGAAAGGCTTCCTTCTGGGCACAAATCTAATATATCTACAGCCCTATACTCTCTTTGAGTCTCGGGTATAAAAATACTGCCCAATGCTGCTAAAGATCTTATTCTGATTATACGATAAGGGAATACAGAAAATTATAGATTTGGTTATGAAGTACCCTCAATCAATTAAGAACTGAAGACGTTCTAATGTACTGTTCAATATGAAATATTTAGCCATGGTTCTGCTGTATATTGATAGCATCGAAAGTAGGGGTTAAAGGTTTATAAAGCATTTAGATATTTGCTTAGCAACAAGCACAGTACAGGGAATATTTAATGACTGACACTTAAGTGATATATAATCCATGAATCATGGTCGCGTGCCAAGACCTAAGTATTGAGTTCAACTATGAAATAAAACATTAATTTATGCAAATATTTAGTGTACATCCGAATGAATCAGCAATTGGAATTGATACACTTTAAAAAACCAGAAAGCCCTGAGGGAATGACAGTGGAATCACGTTCTAAATATATAAATACGATATATAGATCAGGGAACCTACGAAAGAGCTCATTGATTTTCCCAATCTAAAAGCAAACGCCCAATGCGAAACTATAGCCCTATAGTCTGGGTAATTTTATGCATTTCCATTCCGACCCGAGGGAATATAAAAGCTCACTGGCAGGTGGGAAATCTAAACAGAACGCAACAGAAAATGCAATCGATTGTAAGTAGAGATCGTTAACGACCATCGCAGAGGATAATAATCGACACTTTTTTCACCATTACAGATTATAGTTTATTTCATTTTGATCAGCATCTTATTTTGGTTGAAGTTAAGTGGGAGTCTTGAGAGTATCAGTGGCCTGGAAACGAATACAGCTACACCTAGGGTACCATCACAGGATACTCCATCAGAGATCAACCACCCCAAATCACCAGCCACAAGAGTCTCAAAGCTATTGACTGTCCTGAAAGGATCTCCAGCTAGGGATAACCTCATTCCACCAACTACTACACCCGCCTTCAACGGCGAGGATACAACCTTCGACTGCTATTCCCTTTACGGAGATGATTGTTTCCTTGTGCCAGACTTTATCGGTCCAAGACTCAGTGCAAAGCTGTTGAAAATTCTCTCTTAGCCTTCCAGATTCCCCAATATGTTCCATCATTTGAATGTTATTTCCCAAAATATACTCAGAATTATTCAACAAACGTCAACGGTATGCATTTATTTAATGATCTTAACCCCCCGTTCCGATTGGCTGTCATTTAACGCCCATTCAGAAATAGGAGACCAGCAGCCCCGCCTGTCTGTCTGGCTGGGAATTTCATGGATTTTTAACGATCAATCGAAGCAAAAATATATAAAGTCTCTGACGTGAGGGAATTCTAAACAGAACTCAACGGAAAATGCAATCGAATGTAAGTACTGATCTGTTAGTACTGATAGTTAGTAGCTAAATAAACATTTTCCCATTTTAGAAGCGGGTAAATCTTCTCTTTCTGTGCAGCTTTGCCTGTTTGGCGGGGATCTATGCACATCCTGTAAGTTCTACAACACCCCGCTTTCAGATATCTACACTTAAGGATCAAAAAACAACTGAATCGACAGGGCGAAATGATTTAAAAACGAATGGATTAAAGGATATGCAAATAAATACAATATCATCTATACAAAAATCAACAAATCTCAAGGGAACAACAGAAAAAACTACACCAATCTACAGAGAAAAATCTACAATAATCTCCACAGAAAAATCAACACCAATTTCCACAGAAAAATTTACACCAATCTCCAAAGGAAAATCCTTACCAATCTCCAGAGAAAAATCTACACCAATCTTTACAGAAAAATCTACTCCAATCTCCACAGAAAAATCCACAATTATCACCACAGAATCCACCACTGAAGGACATGGGTATTCTCAACGAAATCCAGCTAAAATAGGACCAAGACTAAGTGCAACATTACTGAAAGTTCTCACCAAATAAAACACTCTAGAGCCCAGACTACACTCTCTAAAATCCCAGCAAATTCCAACCTACACTCAAAACTATTACAAAATACATTCAATAATTGATTGTGAGAGTATTATTCTCTCTTAACGAATCTTACGACCTGAACCCGTTTGCCCCACTACAACAATTCTATATAGATATAAAACCCAGCTGCAACTGAGATCAGGTCTCAGTGATCGAGTGAAAATGCAGCCGTCTGTAAGTAGAGAATGGCATTCCGCTAAATTTCGATTGAATAGCAATACATCTCGTACATTTAGATGATATTTATGCTACTTGGTGGGGTCACCATCACCAGTTCGTGTGCCATCCCAAATGCTGATCAAACAAAGAATTTCAATGGAAACCAACAGCAGACAAAGTTACCAGAAGTCTCTATAGATCATCCGAATCCGGAATCAAAGTCTCAGTTGAATGCAGAGGAAGATATCGAACTCTTTCGAATGGTACCACAAAGTACCACGATTCCTAGAGAAGATCTTGCGCCCACGCGCTCCACCATTTCAAATAGGGAGCAAAAGAAGACTTCTAATGGAAATAATGGCGAGAAAAACATACCAGAAGTCTCTACAGAGATCACAATATCGGAACCTAAGACCCAGTTGAATGCAGAGGAAGATATCGAACTCTTTCGAATGGTACCACAGCGTACAACCGTTCCTATAGAAGACCTTGCCTCTGAAAAGATTGTGCCTTTGCCCACACGTTCTCCAACGCCTCGAACTTACACCATTTTAAATGGTGAACAAAAAAAGACTTCTAATGGAGCTACAGAGATCACAATATCGGAACCTAAGATCCAGTTGAATGCAGAGGAAGATATTGAACTCTTTCGAATGGTACCACAAAGTACCACGATTCCTAGAGAAGATCTTGGCTCTGAAAAGGTTGTGCCTTTGCCCACCCGTTCTCCAACGCCTCAAACTTATACCATTCTAAATGGTGAACAAAAGAAGACTTCTTCTGAGGAGAATAAGTTACCAGAAGTTGCTACATCGGAACCTAAGACCCAGTTGAATGCAGAGGAAGATATCGAACTCTTTCGAAGCACTACGATTCCTAAAGTAGAAAAGATTGTGCCTTTACCTACTCGTTCACCCACTCCAGGGACTGCGATGATCACCTCCACTTCTCATGAAGAAAACCAAGGGACACAGACCACAGAAGTTATGCCAATAAATATTATGCCTTTACCAATGCCTGGCAATGTTTCGGTCAAGTGTGAGGTCGAGCCATATAGTTTTGGACCTCGTTTGAGTGCACAACTTTTGAAAATACTCACAAGATTGGGCTAAGAAAACAAAATGTAGTTTATATTTAAAAAGAATAAAGCATCAAACCCAACGTAATATCCCAAAAATGTATAGAATTCCCTGATATTTCCCCCACACACAGAGCTGTGATGACACAGCACCCCGCCATAGATCCACTCTCCAATCAACAGCAATTACTGTCAATCAACATGATCATGATCGTCACGTCGGTGTGTGGGGCCGATGCAATTATTAAATCTAGTCAATAATCATAGCCAGACTCGACAGATCTCGCTATATCTATCCTCTAACGGAGGAGAGTAAATGGTGCGGAGGAAAACTCTCAATTTGCAATGCTATCGACCGGTTAAACCTGTTCCGTAGTGCTCTATAGATTGCCGCAAATAAATAAATATCGTATACGAGACAGAAATTTCATTCATTCAGTGCTTTTTAGCATCGGGAACTAGAATGATCAGAACCACTGCAGTGAGTATTACACGATCTGTGAGCTCTTTAAATACAAAGTATGATCTTTCAGTGTCTGTGCGTGTCATTGTTATTGATCTGTCTGTCTATCGAAAGGAATGATGGCGCCACAAAAGTGCTCTACGAATTTCAGTGAGTCGTGCAGTATTTTATTCCCTTCCAATAACCCCAATGATCTGTCCTTAGCATTCGTGAGAGCACAGGCAATCGGGAGGAAAAGGGTGAGCTCAAAGGTAACTCAACTTCCGGTGAAAATGAATCCCGGGCGGAACCCGAACTGATCATCACAGGTAAACGCACTTCCTCTCTGATTCTGCCCGGCTGTGATCCCACCACTGGGGACTATGTCTACAAGGAGGATGCCACCTATGTGGCGGATAACAGCGGCTACCATGTCAAGTACAACTTCAGCATAGAACCCCTCGAGCTGGGCACACGTCTCAATGCGAAAACACTCAAAGTATCCGTCGGTTAGCCATAGGATTAGCATTAGAAGAACCTGAACTAAATATTTATTATAAATCGCCCACGCAGACAGAGCCCACAAATGCACAGAGAAACTGGGAATGGAATGTTTCCCACATTCTTCTGTAAGGTACGATGAAATCTATTGCATGTCGCGTGTTCGATTATATATTTTAAGAGCTTCAACATTGCGATTTTTAAAGTACAAATAATTTTAACCGATAAATGAATCAATTTTCTAAAAGATTAATAGATTTTTAATACAAATTTTGTATGCCTTATCTTGGGCAATTTTTTACAAGTATATTCTTCAATTATTGCAATGTTTTTTGTCACACATTTCACGAATTTTTGAACACAAATTTTCACTGTTTATTAAAGAAACAGAAGACACCAAGTCGAAGCCGGTTAACCGCTGTTCTCAGGCACAAAACCAAGCCCTCCTCCCGCCCAACCGACCGTAGGGCGCTTCCGATGTTAGACTAATATTCGAGGGAAATTACTATAAACTAAAGTTGCCAGATTGCAATAAATTAACAAAATTGTAGCCCATTCAAAAGTTTTTCTCCGCCACTTCTGCAGACCTCTTTTTTGTGTTAACAAGTTCTTTCCAAACTGTTATAAACAGCTGTTTAGCCACTGGCAGCGTTGCCACCTGATTTCTTTGCAAAGTGAAGTTGGTTGCGACTCACTTTTCTGTGTAAAATGTCAGCCTCTTGAGGAAATAATTTTGAAAAAAGGACCATCGTATATACAATGTTTGTCTTACAAGTAAAAATCGTATATATTCTATGAAAAACTAGTCTTGGCTCTGCCCCATTAATTGTAAAAAAGCAAAACCCCTTACCGTGTGTGAAGTTTCCTTTTGTCTGTCTAGTGATGATTGCTGCTGCGACTTCTAGTCAACACTTTCCAGTACTTAAGACGAAAACACAGTCGTCTTCTGGGAACTGTCTCAAGTAATGTGTGTTTATGAAAATGATTGTAGAAGAAAAGCTGTATATCTGCAATGAGAGGGTTGATTAAAGGAAATCATTAGATTAAGACGACAACAAGCCAACGATTAAGTGAGGATAAACAAATTTCAATTTAGAAACAACCTTGGGGAGGCCCGGAAAACTCATTAACAGCGAGTGGGAGGTGTGGAAGAGCAGAACGCCTGCTACCTTGTGGGTCAAGTGCGAGTAGAGCAAAGCGTAGAGAGGGGGAGAGAGAGAGGGTCAGCCAGCATTTTAGGTCAGAGTCGCGTAATTGAGCTGGTGAGCGAATAATATTCACTGCATCGGTTAATGAAACTAATTAACTAATCAAGCGGTCGGTCTCTGGAGGTTGGGGGGGCCCCATGACGATAAGACCCCAGACAGCATCCAGTCAAAAATCGACGCATCTCTCGATTTGAGCTCAGTTTCGTTTCGGCAATCATTCGGAGCACACACAGAACAGCAGACAGACTCTCTGAAGATCGAATGGAATACTCTGGAATGAGGCTGATGGTGCCTTTGCTGCTGCTGGCAGCCTTCTCTGTGGCTGGGGCTGCAGTGACGCATCCTTTTGCCACCAACTACACGAATGACATCCTGCGCCTGGCCAAGGCGGCCCACATCAAGGCCTACATGGGCGAAGATCCGGACAGGGCGTGCGATAACTTTTACGACTTTGCCTGCGGCAATTGGCCGCGTCTGCATCCGGCCAGGATCCACAACCACAAGACCAACTATCTGGAGGAGCTGCAGGAGCTGTACATCCGCAAGAGCGCCGATATGCTCAAGAGTTCGGCGCGCAGTGCCGACAGCAGTGCCGATCGCATCCTCAAGAACTTCTTCAACTCGTGCTGCCTGCAGGCGAACGACACACGGTCCGCCCTGACGGCCGTCCTGCTCGAGGCGACGGACTTCCGCGGCGGCTGGCCCGAGATTCGAGTGCCCTCGTGGTACCAGTACGAGTACGACTGGCTGAAGGTGGTGGCCACCCTGAAGCGGCAGCTGGGCGTGGACATATTCATCGGCCTGGACGTGATAGTCGACTACAAGGAGGAGCATATGCATCGCATCAAGCTGGGTGCCCCCGCATTGCCGCTGGGGCAGCGTCGCCACTATCTGGACGGGCGCTACCAGGGCACACGGGATCTCTACAGACGTTCGATACAGCAAAAACTGATGCTCTACTTTCCCGAACAGTCCAAGCAATGGCTGAAGGAGGTCTCGGAGCAGGTGCTCGGCATTGAGGAGCAGCTGGCCCAGGGCTTGCCCCACAATGCGGCGCTCACGCTCGAGCAGACGACGCGCCAGCGTACGGCGGCCGACATGAAGTCCGCCTACGGTAGCTATGTGGACATAAGCCGCTACCTGCAGCTGATCTTCAGCGACACTCTGTACGTGGACATCTACGAGACGCCCGAGGACTATCTGTCCAATCTGGTGGACGTGATCCGCGGCACGCCCAAGCTGCATCTGGCCAACTACACGATCTGGCGGACACTAGACTTTTTGGATGCGGCAAGGATACCGCAATCCGTGCAGCCCGATATCTGGTGCATCAAGCTCACGCAGCGTCACTTCCCCCAGCAGCTGGAGAGCCTGTTCCACCGGAACTACAACAACATGCAGATGATCAACGAACTGCAGTCGACGTGGACGGACATCAAGCGGGTCTTTCGCGAGGATCTGCAGGCTTCGGAGAGGCTGCACTGGCTCTCGCAGGAGACGCGCCAGAAGGCCATCTCGAAGCTGGAGTCGCTGCAGCTGCAGTTTCGATCGCACGACGATCAACAGCTGATCCGCAAGCTGCACGGCCTCCAGCTGCAGGCCAAACAGTTCTACCCGAATCTCCTGGCCGTGCTGCAGTGGGAGACACAGCGGCGGCTGGCCAAACTGATGCAGGATCCTGTGGCGGAGGATCGGGTGCTGCACAAGCTGCCGCACTACGAACTGAAGAGCAACAAGATCCAGGTGCCCATCACCTTTCTGCAGGCACGCTTCTTCTGGGATCCGGCCTATCCGAATGCCCTGAAGTACGGCACACTGGGCGTGCTCCTGGCCCGCCAAATGCTGCACGGTTTCGACGGTGAGGGCCGGCGTTACGACGCCCATGGCTATCAGAACAACTGGTGGGATTACACGTCGGAGAGCTCGTATGCGCGTCGGAGTCAGTGCTTCCAGGAGCAGTACGCCATCTTTGTGCAGTACCGGGAGAAACCGGTGCAGGATAAGCAGCTGCTGCGTCGCATTGTGGCCGACAATGGGGCCTTGGACATTGCCTATCGGGCGTACACCAAGTGGCTAAAGAACTCCGCGGAGACCATGGCCAGCTATCAGCGGGAGCGTCTCCCCCTGCTGGACTACTCGAACCTGCAGCTGTTTTACCTGGCCTATGCGCAGCTCTACTGCTCGGACTATCCGGATACCCTGGAGCGGTACGAGGAGCTGCCCGAACAGCTGCGCATCAATGCGGCTCTGTCCAACTCGCAGCAGTTCACGAATGCCTACAGCTGCCCCAGCGGTTCCGCGCTGAATGCTCGCTTCAAGTGTACCCTTTACTAGGAGGGTAAATCGATCTATCGATTCCATTTCCATTTCCATTTATGTATTTTACACAAGAGTTTTTGTTGTTCTATAAGTAAAGCACTTGCTGCTGCCCCTTTAGTTTGTGTTTTGATTTACTCTCGAAGGGAGATAACCCCCGGGGATGACCCTCGACAATCTCGACAGCTCTTTTTCGCTCTCAAAAGCGACTCTTGGTAGCTGGGAGGCTGCCTCTTTGTCAGTTGATAGCCAGAGCTCCGGCAGCATGTCGATGTTTCTTCTTGGACTCCTGCTCTTCCTCCTGCTCCAAAGGTGCTCCTCGGCGGCCACCGATGCAGCAGCCACACCGAGCGGCAGCAGCTTCCAGCGCATCTACCAAACCGAGCAGACCCTCCGCAATGCCAAGGGCAAGGAGATGTTTGGTTACCTGAATCTCAGTGCCGATCCCTGTACGGATTTCTACGAGTATGCCTGCGGTGGCTGGCAGGCGGCAGCCACACCCCAACTGCAGTTGGAGCAGCGCACGGACGGGGATCTACTGCGTTTGCTCGAGGAGAGCGCCCATCGGGAGGACAGCGGTGTGGCGCGGCAGGCCAAGGAGTTCTTCAAGTCCTGCCTGGTGGCCCAGACCCAGACCCAGCAGAGCCAGCAGCAGTTCCTCAGCGAGTTAATCCAACAGAATGGCGGCTTTCCCGCCGTGCCCGGCTCCAATTGGGAGGTGCATCATCACGACTACGACTGGCTAAGGGTCCTGGGGGAGCTGCGGCACCGCTTCGGTCTGGACATACTGATCGGCCTGAGGATCGGCTACAACTATGCCAATGTCCATGAGAACAGTCTGTACTTGAGCGAACCGAGCACCGTCATTCCCAGGGCTCTGTGCACCCACAACCGCCTGGATATACGCGACATGGCCTATGAGCCGCTGGAGCGGCGCGTGGCCTCCGAGCTGAAGGCCTGGCTGGCGCTCGACAATGAGGCAGCCGCCCGTCTGGCCGCCGATATCGTGAGCTTCGAGCACGAGCTGTGCGGCGGCATGCAGCAGGACTCTGAGGCGCCGTGGGATGCCGAACGGCAGCTGTACGCCGGAAACTGCACTCGCAAGACCCTCGCCGACTTCTCCAAGATCTACGGCCTCAATCTGGAGTCGTATGTGACCGCCAGCTATGGGCAGGTGATCTTCAAGCCCGTCTACATGGCCGCGCCGAAGTACTACCGCCAGCTGCAGCGCACGGTGGCCGCCCACAACGCCAGCCAAGTGGCCAACTACATCATGTATCGGGCAGTGTCCGCTCTGACCTTTCCCCTGGAGGATCGGCCGCATTTGAGGCGCAACGAGTGCCTGGGGCGCATCAAGCGGCACTTGCCCACGGCCTTGGGGGAGCTGTATGCCCGGCAGTTTGCCAGCGAGGATGCCCGCAAGGATCTGGAGGCACTCTACGGCCAACTGCAGGACGCCCTGAAGCAGAGCCTGAGCGCCGACTGGCTCGAGGAGGGCAGTCGCCGGGTGGCGCTGCGCAAGCTGGTGGATCTGAAGCTCCATTTGCCCCACTACGAGCGGCCGCTGGCCTACAAGCTGCAGCTGGAGCGGAACAACTACTGGTCGAATCTCCGGCAGCTGCTGGGCGCCGTGGAGGCGCAGCAAATGGGTCGCCTCTTCGAGGAGGAGCTGCCCGCGCCCAGTGATCCCGTGGAGGCGTACGAGGCACGGGTGCGGTACCGCCCCGTCCAGCGGCAGATCGACATGGGCCTGGCCCTGCTGCAGGCCCCCTTCTACGATACGCATTACGGCCAGTCGCTGCGCTACGCGACCCTGGGCGTGGCTGTGGCCCGCCAGATGGCCGCGGCCTTCGATGATCCACACTGGTCCCTGGACCTGCTGGAGCGCGACAGCTGGGACGGTTTGACGGCCTGGAGATATCACGATCGGAGCGAGTGCTTCAGCCGCCAGGTGGAGGAGTATCTGCACGCCAATGCCAGTGCCACGCGTCGGCTGATCTCAGACAGCGCCGCCCTCAATGTGGCCTTCGGGGCGTACCTCACGTGGCTGGGCTTCCAGGAGCCGAATAACGACTTCAATCGGCTCGCCAAGGAGACCCTGCCCGGCCTCAACTACTCCAACACGGCGCTCTTCTTTGTGGCCTACGCCCAGCAGCACTGCAGTCGCGAGGAGACGCGTCGTTGGTCGTCAGCCCGAGTGCCGCCTTACAGTGCCCTGCAGGATCACAGCTGGCCCCGAATGGCGGTCAATGGCCCGTTGAGGAATCTCGAGGAGTTTGCCAGGGAGTTTCATTGTCCCATGGGCTCGGCCATGAATCCGGCCACAAAGTGCCAAATCTACTAGGGAGTATTTCGAGGGGAAAACGCGGCCCCAAAGAATTGTATCCATAAGTGTTCAAAATTCACTTCCGCAATATTGTAGAATTTAATTGTGGTCCTATCGGAATGTCGATAACTTGTTGGGCATTCATCGTTTCCCTATCGAATCGCTCGGGGCGAATGGCATTTGCTGGTGTCCTTTTCGTTATGAGACATTTGTACAGTGAATCATATACAGTTATCGTACCGATATTTACTTTTTCTGGTAATTAATCGCATCCCAATTCATCGTTTTTCAATTTGCTCGTGGCGAATGGAATTTTTTGTTTTATTCGCAATAAATGTGTGCTTCCGAATAAAGGACATTTTATAAATATCGCCATATATCTGGTTATTAATCGTATACCAATCGAATCACCCGTGGCGAATGTTCTTTTTGTGTCCTTTCGCTTATGGGAAATTCCCAGAAATCATTTAAAGCACCAGAATTTTTCAAATCGAATTTTTGAAATTTTTTTATAAATATAATTTACTCAAATCGATAAGGAAATATATTCTTCATACTGGGCTTATGAAATCCATTCGGTATATTTTTTTCTTGCAGGAAAAATAATAGCTAGTCTATCAATATTATTTGGTCGTTAAGAAGGAGAAGCTCGCTTGTCTGTAAGGAGAATTTCATCTCTTCTGGACATCTACTCGGACTCGGAGTCTGTGGAACATCCAGGCTTGACTTCGATAATGTAAGGAACAAAATTGGAAAACTTTGTTGGCAATTTGTGTCTTTATAAAAGTAAAGAAGGTCTGAGGGGTTTTCTCAAGTCGAGGTCTCATTTAGAAGTTCCCAAAAACGGCATCGATATTTTCACAAAAGCCAAAGGATCGGTTCTATCGATAATGAAATCGATTGGTTTGAAGAAAGTGTTCTATTGGTAGAACAAATCAATTTCTTCTTCGTTCTTAAAAACCAAAAGAGTCTTTTGGAGGATCCACTACAGAAGAACTTCTCTACAACGAAGTTTTCTATAAATTGAATCTATTTCCAGAACACTTGAATGCTATATTCTCCAAAAATGAAATATTAAGAATTCCCTTTGAGATTGAGTTTTTTTTGTTAGTTTTTCTCAGTGCAGGGAACAGAGGAAACTATAAAACTTTAAGGGAAGGCAAGCCAACATAGACCTTCTCTCGATCGGCTTTGTGTTGTTTTGCTGTCACTGCCAAGATCTTGGCTTGCTGTCCAGCGAGGCCGTCTTTGTTTACGTCTCTCCCAGAGCCAGACACAGAGCCAAAGCCAGAGCCACAGCGCGATAACCCCTCAGGAACCGAGAGGAGAGACAAACTTGACCCAAAAATCGACCAAGTTCATGAGCACGAGTCCGGAGCAGTGCTTATCGCCCACCACGGGCCCGTAGTCTGTCGCTCAGTCGACTTTTCAACGCCAAGATGAAAGCTTCAAGAGCTGCCCGGTGGAATGTGCTAATCCTGCTGCTGCTTCTCGTCCACGTAGACGGGGTCCAGCGGCACAACGGCATGAACCGCATGCCTCTGCAGCAGCAGCAGCAGGGGCCCATGTACGGCGGAGGCCAGCTGCAGCAGATCCCTCCCCACCCGGACAGTCGCGAGGAGTTCAAAGTGCGCCAACTGATGGGCCTGGAGATGCAAAAGTACATGAATCTCAGTGCCGATCCGTGTGTGGATTTCTTCGAGTTTGCCTGCGGCCACTGGGGTGGCTACCACAAGCGCCAGCAGCGCCAGGGGGCAGCCGGGGCCGGTGCCCCACTCGTCACCGCCCAGCAGGTGGTGGAGGCGAAGATTGTGGATCAGCTGCAGCAGCTCCTGACGGCCCCACTGCCGCCGCAGCACCATCCGAACCAGTACAGTGGCGCGACGGCGGCCAATGTGCGGAAGGTGCGCTCCTTCTACGACTCCTGTGTGGCCGTGGAGGCGAATGCCGGCGAGCGACGCCGCTTCCTCATGAAGATCCTCAAGGACAACGGGGGGCTGCGGAACGTGGCCAACTCCAATTGGCAGCACAACCGCCACTGGCTGCAGACGCTCGCCGAGCTGCGCCGCAACTACGGCCTGGACATACTCCTCGGCCTGGAGATCGACCTCAATCTGCAGCAGCTGGGCGGCAACAGCATCTACCTGGGCGAGCCCCGGCTGACCATCATACCGGAGGAGCACTGCAATGTGGTCGCCACCAGGGGGGCCCATGTGCGCGATCTGGTCTACGAGCAGATCCAGCAGCAGGTGGCCGACAATCTGAGGGATTGGCTGGCCCTGGAGACGGGCGAGGCGGCACGCATTGCCGGCGACATCATCCGCTTCGAGTTCGAGCTGTGCAAGCACATGCGGGGGCAGCAGCTCCAGCAGCAGCCGCCGGCCCAGGAGGAGGATCTGCCGCCAGTGGCCTTGCCCTTTGGGGCACGATCGCGCATCGGACAGGATCGGTTGCACCGGCAGAAGGCCAGTGGCATTACGCTCACGGATCTCACCACCGAAATGGGCGGCTTCTTCGACTTCAAGCTGTACGTGGAGGTGATCCTCGAGAGCCTGTACACGAGCGTCGTCTATCTGCGGTCGCCGGACTACATCAAGCATCTGGTGCGCACGGCCAGGGCCAACAATCGGTACACGATCGCCGCCTACATCATGTACGTGGCCCTGAACGAGCTCAACCAGCCGCCGGAGGAGCATCCCTCCCGGAGGGCCCGCCAGTGCGTGCAGGTGATGCAGCGCCTGTTCCCCCAGGTCCTCGGCGAGATGTACCAGCGCCAGGTGCAGCGCGACGATGCCAAGGACGACCTGCAGCAGGTGTTCAGTGATCTGGTGAAGGCCTTCGAGCAGCAGCTGCGTGTCGACTGGCTGGACGACAACGATCGACGGGCGGCCAGGGCGCGTCTGGCCCAGTATCACACACTGCTGCCGGACTACCAGAATCTGGATCTCGCCGAGCTGCAGTTCCAGAAGTCCGACGACTACTGGCACAAGCTGGAGGTGGCCCTGCGCTTCAGGGCCCGCCAGCAGCTGAACGGCCTGCGTGGCAATGACTTTGGCCAGGAGCCCGAGGGCGGCCTGGTGGATGGTTTCGAGGTGCGTGCCGCTCTCGTGGCCCGCCAGCAGGCGGTGCTCGTGGGCTGGGGTCTGCTGCAGGCGCCCTACTACAACTACCACTATCCCAGGGCCCTCAAGTATGCGCAGCTCGGCCAGCGGCTGGCCAGTGCCCTCGTCCAGGCCTTCGATGACGAGGGCTGGAATCGTCATCCGCAGGCCACATCCCCGTGGAACGAGCTGACAATGTCCGGCTATCGGAATGTGACAGAGTGCCAGCGGGCACAGTACAGCAACTATCTGTACAATCAGCCCGCGGAGTTCCGCAATGCCACGCGGCTCAGGGAGATCATGGCCGACAGCAGCGGCCTGAATGTGGCCTTCAATGCGTACCTGGCCTGGCTGGAGCAGCAGGACAACAAGCCACGTCCGCTGCTCTACAAGGAGACCCTCCCGGAGCTGAACTTCACCAACACGCAGCTGTTTTTCCTGTACTTTGCCCAGACCCGCTGCTGGGCGAGATCCAACCAGGAGGCGGTGCCCTTCCTCGAGTCCATGCCGCTGATGCAGCACACGGCCGAGCGCTGGGATGTCAATGGGCCGTTGAGCAATTCCGTGGAGTTTGGACGCGAGTTTGGGTGTGCCCTGGGCACCCAGATGAACAGCGGGGACAAGTGTTTGGTTTACTGAGAGATGACGAGGCGTTAAAGTGGAGTCCGAGGTGCCTCGAAGGTTGCATTGCAGCACACAACAGATTTCTATAAATAATCCCCCAATCGTCAGTCAGGAACGTGCACGATGAGGGCTTTTCTCTGTATGGCTTTCTGTGTCAATCGAAGCACTTGAGCGTGGAGACGACACCCGCCCGACCGCCCGACCGCCGGACGAGACGTGGCCTGGACACAGCCACTCGAGCACGCAGCATGCGGCATGCGGCATGTAAGCGATAGGCCCGTGGCTGAGTATCACTCGGTTCGACCCTGAACCATTCGATCGATCAATATGTGTGGGGGCGATGCATGCCTCATGCCGCACGCATTTCCGCTTAATTTAAGACGAGGCTTACCTGCAACGACACAAGAAATTTTCATAGCATATAAGTATAAATTTTGTATAGGAAAAATAAATATAATTATATATAGAATAAAAACGACTAGAAGATACCCTTCTTACAGGGAGAAGAGTAACTAAAATATTCACGGTTTCTGCCACTGGAATGGTACATCCGACGTTCAAGTGTGACTGACAATTTTTTATTCATTTGAAAAAGACCCAACCCATTTTTTCTTTCCTTCCAAAAAGGTTTTACATCTACTGGCTGTATTTTTGTTCCCATAATATTGGAATATTTCCCTTCTAAACACATAAATATTTGAATTTAAGTCCAAAATGTTTCTTGCTGCCTCTTAAACAACGAATGATGACACTTTTTAGACTTTTACCACTAACAGTATATTATATATAGTATATACTGTATGGTTAGTGCTTTTACTAGTAATCGATATTTTTCGGTATTTGATCGTAAAACGAAAGCTGAGTCGTTCGTGACGAATGGTCACTACTGGTGGCATTTGCAAGGAAAATTACCGTTTGCTAATGGAAGGAACATTTTTACAGGTAATTAATTTGCACTAGTGGAGCGAGGGGTGTAAAAATGATCCCAAATCGATGAATTTTATTAAATTTATATAGACAATATTTATATATTTATAAGAAAGCAAAAGGAGACATATATTCATATGAAATCCCATTTTCTTAAACTAAATTTTCAGAATCTTAGTTTTTTTTTGTTATTTTTGATACATAACTGTACATCGGATAATGGCACTAAGAAAGCCAATTAAAAAAAAATAATAATAATAATACTGTATATAATTAATATATTAATTATGAAAATTCAATTTAAAAAAAAAAACACTAAAATAATTTTTGGAAAATATAAAAAAAAAAAATATGGTTTATATTAATTTTATTATAATTAAGATTTATGAAAATTATGAATTATGAAAATTCAAAAATTCAGTTTAAAAAAAAATACACTAAAAATATTTTTTATTATTATTATTTTTTTTTCATCTGATTTTATTATAGTTAGGATTGTATTTTATATTTTTGATTGCACAAAAAATAGTATCACTGATACAAATTATGTTTTTCAATGACAAAAAAAAAAAAAATAATAATTCTCCTACAGCCCCTGAAATCCAGGAGTTCCTACAGAAAAACCCAACGAATTTATAGAGGGTATTCCATTATCACATTACATACACTTCCACTCATAGGGCATACCCACTTCGTTACAAATTTCCTATTCAAAGGGTATACAAAATGTGCGCAAAATGTGAGACCGAATCTCACAGTCAAGCCCCTCCTCCTCCGGCATTGATTGCAAATGGAACGGAAGTGCCAGACCCCCCATCCCCCCCGCACACACACCACCCATGGCCACTGTAAAATTATTGTTTTAAACGCCGGCTTGATCATCAATTACAGTGGGGCCTCTGTATAAAGACAACGGATAATCACTTGGGATGAAAAACAGCTCGTTAATGAAGGTGTTTTTGAGGGGGGGAAGGGAAGTCAGTTTTATAATCACTTAAGAGAGACACCATCAAAAAGAGAAATATTTTGCATAAATTATAAGCAAACCAGAGAAAAAGATGCCAAGTGCCGCCTGTGGTCCATCATTTGGCGACGGCTCCCACACAGACACACACAATAAATGCTGGAGGAGGTGCTTGGGGCACTAAAATGATGCGGAATTCCAGGCAAACTCTTTCCCTCTCTCTCTGTGTCTCCTCTTTGGACCTTTTAACTATCACGCTTTCCCCATAATTACCAGACTCCCCGCCCGACTCTGACTGCCACACCAACAACAGGGTCTTCAAATCGATGTCGTGGCAAAGTCGTTGGACTTTTGTAGAGGAAACTAATCAGCAAAAGAGAGTAAGAGAGAAACGGAAGCTACAAAGAAGAAAGTCAATAACCATTCATTAAAAGATAATCCACAAAACGCTTAAGCGACTGACAGTGGAAAAGCAGAAGACACCCACGCGACTCCACCTCTTGTAAGCGGATTCCCGTAAGTCCTGAAAAGAGGCTTAAAGAAGGTATCTATATATCCCATGTATATATATTTCTAGAAACAAGACAGCCAGAAATAAACTCAACTGCACGAAACGAATTGATTAATCAACTTAACAAAGTCCCCAATAAATCAGACTGTAGGCGAGGGCATCCGAAGACAGATCTGGATCCCCAGACCCCGAAGACCCTACAGGCAAATGACCCAGTTTTCTATCTATCTATTTGTCTGTTTGTCTGCCTGTCTTTGAAGAGATACAGATAGAGAACTGTGGCTACCCCTTGGGGTATACATTTGTAACCCAAATTCGAAAATGTCTTTACAAAGTGCTTCTAAACACACATGTCGAGCAGCATTCTGAAACAAAATTGATCTTAAAGATGGTCCATTCTCTCTCTCTCCATCGATGAATGGCTAGCAGGTGTGTTGCATGCAACTAATGAGGAAATTCCTCTGTGAGGGGGGGGATGGCTCATATATCATATCAAATCTCTGGGCAAACAAAAACACAGACTTTTGTAACTCAAAACTGTTTACACTCCCCACAACAGAACCCAAGAAAAAAGCTTCAGTTAAAGTACACTCGACACATATTGCCTCTGACTCTGCCCCTGCCCCTGCCTCTGCCTCTCAGAGACTCTTTCTGTTGTGTGGGCGCTGCCTCTCGGGTACTGTCATATATGGCCTCCATTTATCCGCCGGTTTATAAATACTTTACATACGGCTTTGGCAAGCCATAAAGTAATGAAATATTTTTTTGATTTTTTTCGCATTCAATTGAATTTCTGTGGGCTCTGACTCAAAGGTGCGCCCCATATACGTAGGGGCTATACATTTATTGAATGGATCTGAAAAGAGCAATACAAATAATTTGTTGGAGAGGGGATAGTTCTTCCAGACAGAAACTGCATTAAATATATGAGGGGGCGCACTTTTCGCTATAGTTTTTGGGGTTGCAGCAAGTGCCACCCTCTACTGCTTCCGACAGCTGGCAGAATAGTATCTGGAAATCCGCCATAGAGGGGGGGGATACGTGTCAAGGAAACAGCTGAGAAGCGGAAAGAGAGCAACGGTTCTTGCTCTCACAGAAATCGATTTTTCCCCCCAAAACCAATAAGAAACCAATCTGGTGGATACATTTAAGTGGCTGAAAATACACCTTACCTGAATAAATGATATACAATATGTATTACGGGTATGTCTCCAAAATTAATCCGAAACCAAAGTATTCCCTAGCCGTATTCGTGTATAAACTTTTAATGGACTTTGCTGATAATTCTTTATGCTTGGAAGAACAGAACAGATAAAATGTAAAGCACTTGTTGTAAACCACATGGATTTTTCACATAAAAATCATTTCGAAATGCACTTCTTACGCACCAAATGGAAACGCAATACACACCATCGACAGAGAGAGAGGGAGGGAGAGAGAGAGAGAGAGAGAGTCCCGTTGGGGTTCGGGGTTGGGCGGTTGGAAGGGTGAATGGCTGGACGATTGGGTGTGGTGAATTTTCTCGAAAAGCGCGGCCTGCTTCTATCGATTTGGCAATTAGATGCGTGAAAAGTGCACAACACAAACACAACCACAAATTGTAAATTAAATCATAAGCCACAAATGATTTACGCACTTGATACACCAAAGAATTCTGGTAGATATATTTCCAGTACGGATATACACACACGATAAGGCCAGGCACGACCACACGAGCGAGCGAGCGAGCAACGAGAAACCACGTCCGACCGTCTATGTGTGGCGCTGCTGTGTAACTCTTGTGTGGGGCGCCGCTCTTGGGCCACTCACTCACTCCGCCTGCTATGCTGGCGCTGCCAGAGCATTGGCAGAGGCAGCGGCAGCGGCAGAGGCAGCAGCAGAGACTGCGCAGCCAGTGGGAGAACCGTCTTCCAGGCGCATGGATTGACCAACATAAATCACACCAAAAAATACAAAAACAAGTCTTTGGACAACGGGAATACCCTAACATTTGAAAAGTAGGCAATCGCTTTAATTCAGGGGTAGCACAAGGCATATAAATTATCTACAATATTTACATAATACTTTTACCCAAGCTGAAATTTTCTTACTCATATACGCATACCCTCGAAAAGAGTTACTTCCTTCCTCTGTCGCATAGTGTACGCCTAAGACCTTACCACCCATTGAGTGTAGAGTAGAGTGAGAGAGCGGGAGAGCGGTAGATCAGGAGAGTGCGAGTCTGCGTTTGCAAAGAGAGTGCAAATGCAGTGCCGATGGCAACGACGAACGGCATGACACACACAGCCCTAGTTATGGCTGCGTCTGTGTGTTTGTGTGTGTGTGCGTGCTGCTGATAAGCGAATCGTGGGCTCTCCGATCAATTACCAGAAAAACACAAGGAAACACACACACAACACAAAAAGAAAATAAAAACCGATCGGTCACGCATGCGCCCTCCGCCCCGCCCGCCAACGGCCTGTAGGAAACTGGTTTCGGGGGGATTTGACATTTTAAAGACGCTGCTTCCCCTTCCCCTCCTCCGCCGCCGCCACGGCACAACGCATTCTATGCAGATTAGTTAGTTTTGTAATCAAATCGACCGCAAGCTAAATGGCATGCAATTTTCCAATGACAGGCCGCTAGAACCCGTTGTTCCGAGGTTAATGACACGATCTTAATGGCCAGCCATTACGTATGCATTTCCAGTTCAAACCGATCTATTACCCAAGCTAGTAAGAGATAATGATATGGGGATCATGTACGTTTAGATAAGGCAACTGCTGCTGAGTGCAATGCGCAGCTAAATGGATTTTCATGGCAGGGCATTTATTATCACTCGAAAGAAAGTGTGGACAATCCGCACTAACAAGCCCCCAAGAAGTGAAAACTTTTTCGGGGAAATTATAAAATTTCTCAGCTCTCCAAAACGGTAGCGGTCCAACCCTAGCGTTTAGAGAACTCACCACAGCAGTGGCTTTCCAAAGCGCAGGCGCTCTATGCGCTCCAGGAAGTCCCCGTGAGAGAGAGAGAGAGAGAGCGAGCCAGAGTTGAATGAAAAATATGTGTTACAGGCCGAAGGTAAAAGGTAACCAAGAATCTACATAAACGCAGAGTTTGCAGAGTTTTGATGAATCATTTGGTTAGGTTAGGCCTGCCTGCCATTAGGGGGTGGTGGTGGCTGGGGGTTGAGTCACTGCCCAACGAAATACATAATTGATTCGGGACCAGACTGCGTGACTGCGCCTCCAAATGTCAGTAAACAGTAGAACTTTCATTGGCCCGAGGGGGGAGGGACAGTCGAAATGTAACCAATCAACCTATAAGAAGAATTAATGACCAAATTTTGTTGTTGGCCAACTTCCGGCATTACACGAAAGAAGAAACCCGAAAGAAGAACCTCATTCAAGGCAATCAAATGCAGGCGGTACTTCTTTCGTGCCATTGAAATGCAAATTACTACGGTGGGAAGGGGGGGGGCAGCACGCCCTGATAGATAGGAGGGCCCCCGAGCAATCCCATCGATACGTTTGAACGGGCAGCGATGGCACCCAAAGATTTACAAACGTGTGATTTCATCGAAAGCTTAATTATGATGCGATTTCCATAAACAAAGCGACAAAGCTTTTTGTTTTTTTTGTCAGTGCCAAGCTCGAATTATCGCGTATGTTTTTTTTGTATTTCGATATGGGGTCTGGTCTGAAACGAGTTTGAGGAAAAGACAAAACAACACACAGAGAGAGCGAGAGATTTCTTAGTCACTCGAAAAAACAGACCCGACCATATGCCAGAGCTAGAGGATAGAACTCCAAAGGCGCACCTCGCGCCGAGGCATTGGCGATGCGATAATTATCAAGTTAATTACTCGACGCTAATTAGTCGGCAGCGCGTGAGAGGCTGGCAGAGGTGGCCCACGGTGACCCTAGGTCGCGGCTGAAATTAAAACCATTTGCTTGCTGCTGAAAACGAAAGGTAAAATCCAAAAGATAACAGACCCGTGAGGAATGAATGATAAAGACAAATGGCATGCCGAAGCGCATGGGGGCATGGGAAAGACAATATCCAATTGGTACGGAAACTGGAGCTCGAAAGCAAGCCGAAGAGGAGAGCAAAAGCAGCAGCAGCAGCAATGGCAACTGCAAATCAACTTAATGACGACAGGCTGGCAACTTTTCAAACGGTTTTATCTGGTGAGATCGTGAGATGGAAGTGGAGCCGCCGTACCCTGCTCTGAAAGTGGAAATGAATTTAAGTTTGGTTTTATAATCAAACCCAATAAAACCAAATAACAATGGTGGTGGTTGGGGGGGGGTTGGACCCAGCCACACTTGCATGTAGGAAAAAAATCGATGAGTGCTCAATTAACTGTTATTTGCACACACATACACACAAACACACCTACGTGGAGCACGCCCGCACAAACATACTCTTGCAAAAACACCCATACATGCCTAAATGCAGATGAAGTTACCTTTTTCTTTTGAATATTTTTGTTGTTTTTGTTTTATTGGGCAATCTGATCCTCAACAAACATTGGTGGTGGTGTTGCAGCTGGTTCCGCCTGCGCCTCCAAGTGGATTGGCAAATACTGCCACTCCCACACTCCAATTGGCACTTGCAGATTTTTTTTAGGGCGCGTTAGGGCTCACACACACACACACACCTTTTTCGTTGCCAAAATTACTGTCCCCCGTTTCGCGAGTGTGTGGACCACCACTGTTTAATAATTTACTTTTTGCATTTATTAACAGTTATGTCAAGCTTTTTTTTGTTGTTGGCAGCGCGGCGTCTTCGATGCGTCGTCGCTGCTGATTTTTGTTGTTGCAAAATTTTCGTGTAAATTATGTACAATGGGGGTGGATTGTTGCAAGGTGGTCGAATTCACTCGCGTTCGTTGGGTTTTACGTGGTTTCGAATGCACTATGTGCCGCACGCATAATTTGCCCAATGGCAAATCGTCGATTTCGTTAGTAATTTGGCTAATTAATTCTTTTAACACGGAGAAAACTTTCGGTTGATTTTTTTGTTAATATTAGGGATCAGTGTGACCGCGGATTTATCGTCAAGATATACCGTCCGACCCTCAGAAAAATACCAAAATATACCATCTTATTTAAAAAGTATACCGTAAATATACTGACGAACTCAAGTTCAATTATACATATTCCTTGATTTTGAGGAATACTAGCTATCTAGACATGTTTATTAACGAAAAATATTAACTGCAATTGGTGCAAGCTTGGTGGATTGGTCTAACATAAAAACTGGTGAATATTTGGTTTGTGTGGTATGGCATTGTGAAAGCAGTGTTGCATTTCTGAACAAATCGATAAGCGCCGCCGCAATATAAACAAAAGAAATTGTTGTTTATTGAAATGCTTATAAATGTTGTATTAATTATATTGTTAGTGGGCTTGAACGGAAAAGCCAGTGGACAAAATCAAGGACTATGCAGCCCAGATGAAAATGCATCCGGCGCCGACAGCAGTGATACTCAGGATGAATGTAAGCCACTTGTTGCCGGCTCATTTAAACATTTAAATATATGTATGTATTTCCATACTTTTAGTTAGCTTCAATATTCTACGAAAGATAAAGAAGGCCTTGGCCAGCAATCAGCCGTGCAGCAGCGATGCCAATGATGCCAACTGCTCTTGCCACGCGGCGGTTATCAAGAGCGACCTGGCTCCCTACAAGGCAACAGGTGTCAGCCGCCAGATGATCGAGAGCTCCGCCCGGTACGGCACACGATACAAAATATACGAGAAGCGGCTGTACCGCGAAGAGAACTGCATGTTCCCAGCTCGCTGCCAGGGCATCGAACACTTTTTGTTGCCGCTGGTGGCCACGCTGCCCGACATGGATCTGGTGATCAATACGCGCGACTATCCCCAGATAAATATGGCCTGGGGCAATGGCGCACAGGGACCAATTCTCTCCTTCTCCAAGACGAAGGACCATCGTGACATCATGTATCCCGCGTGGACCTTTTGGGCAGGCGGCCCGGCCACCAAACTCCATCCCCGCGGTATTGGGCGGTGGGATCTGATGCGGGAAAAGCTGGAGAAACGGGCGGCAGCCATACCCTGGTCGCAGAAGCGCGAGCTTGGCTTCTTTCGCGGTTCCCGCACTTCAGACGAGCGTGATTCGTTGATCCTGCTGTCGCGGCGCAATCCCGAGCTGGTGGAAGCGCAGTACACAAAGAATCAGGGCTGGAAGTCGCCCAAGGACACGCTGGATGCCCCGCCCGCCGGCGAGGTGTCCTTCGAGGATCACTGCAAGTACAAGTATCTCTTCAATTTCCGTGGCGTGGCGGCCAGCTTTCGGCTGAAGCATTTGTTCCTGTGCCAGTCGCTGGTCTTCCACGTGGGCGACGAGTGGCAGGAGTTCTTCTACGACCAGCTCAAGCCCTGGGTGCACTATGTGCCCCTCAAGAATTACCCCAGCCAGCAGGAGTACGAGGAACTGCTCACGTTCTTCAGGAAAAACGATGCACTAGCCCAGGAGATAGCACAACGTGGCCGGGACTTTATCTGGCAGCATCTGCGCATGAAGGACATCAAGTGCTACTGGCGAAGGCTGCTCAAGAGCTACGTGAAGCTCCTTACCTACGAAGTGCAGCCAGAGGATCAGCTTATACACATTCAACCAGCCAAGGACGAGCTGTAGTTTCGTAATCAAATGAGATTCTTAGGGCTTAGGGCTCTACATGTCGAATATATTTATGTTTTAAGAAATTCTCTTTCGAAAAGTCATTTCAAAATTGTGTAAATGGGAGCTCTGGCTCTTCCCCTCGCCCTCCTGCTGCTGTGCGCGTTTCAGGTCTGCTCCGCATCTGAAGGCAAATGCTGTGCCAACCGTGTGGCGCCATGGAACTGTAAGCCACTGATCGCCGATGAATGACGAACTACTGACTCCCACTTATGTTTCCAGTCAGCTTAGACTTTGTTCCGCACATACTGCATGCCCTGGATCAGTACCGGCCATGCAGCAGCCAGCCAAGCGATCCAGACTGTGAATGCCATGCGCTGACCATCCGAAGGGACTTGGGGCCATATGCGGAAGCTGGAATAACGCGCTCTATGATGGCACAGTCACGACGTTTGGGGGTTGTGTACCAAGTTATTGATGGACGTATCTATCGCCAGCCGGAGGTCCCGCATCCGAAGCGCTGTGCCGATGTCGAGGACATGCTGCTGGGCATCGCCGGAGAGCTGCCGAACGTAGAGTTTATCCTGAATGTACGCGACTGGCCGCAGGTGCCATTTTTGTCGGGTTTCACGGGACCCGTCTTCTCGCACTCGGTCTCCCATCAGCATCTGGATATTATGTGTCCCGCCTGGTCCTTCTCGAGTGTCTCGGGTCCGCCATTGCAGAGATTTCCCCATGGCATTGGTCAGTGGGGCCACATGCGCCGGCACATGGCAGCGGCGGCAGCACAAGTTTCCTGGGAGCACAAGCAGCCCATCGGTTTCTTTCGCGGCACGCGTTCGTCCACCGAACGCGATACTCTTGTGCGGTTGTCAAGGCGATCCCCCGACCTGGTCGATGCCCAATACACGTCAAATGTGGGCGCTGAAACAGTCGACGAGGTGCCGTTCTCCGGCCACTGCCAATACAAATATTTGTTCAACTTTGGCGGCATCACCGCCAGCTTTCGGCTGCGCCACATTTTGCTCTGCAAATCGCTTGTTCTCCATGTGGGCGACCAGTGGCAGGAGTTTTTCTATTCCTCGCTAAAGCCATGGGTGCACTACGTCCCCGCGCCCAGTAATGCCACAGTGGAGAGCTTGGAGCAGCTGCTTGTGTACCTGCGCCTGCACGACGACCTGGCAGAGGAAATAGCCGAGCGGGGATTTCAGTTTGTGTGGCAACATTTGCGCCTGCAGGATGTCCAGTGCTATTGGCGAAACCTGCTGCAGGAATATGCCAAGTTGCTGAAATGTCGAGTGGAGCAGGAGCCGGAGTTCATCGAAGTGCGAAAGCAGACGAAAGCTCTGCAAAAATTTGAATTTCCCGGTCTGTGCCAGTGTGACCCTCTCTTGTCTGGTCAATTGTTACGTCACGAGCAAACAGCTGTTCCTTGAGATTGCCTCGATTTTCTGCGTTTTCCGACCTTTGCGCGGGTTCCTATCATGACAGCACAGTTGAATCCCTTTCGAAATGCTTTCCGGCTGCCAACGAAGCAGCGCATCAACTGGTTCCCCGGCCACATGAACAAGGGCATGCGCCAGATCCAACAGAAGCTACGAAATGTCGATTGCATTGTGGAAATACACGACTCGCGCATACCGCTGGCCGGTCGAAACTCTCAGTTCTTTGACACGATAACCGGTAGGTATGTGTGTGCAGGGAATATACCACCAAGATCTAATCCTTCCGATTCCTCAGGCAGCGGCGTAAAGCCGCATATACTTGTCCTGAACAAGGTTGATCTTCTGGGCCCCAAACAGCAGCGCAGCGTGCTCCAACAGCTCCGCAGGCAGCAGCCGGAACTGAAGAATATTTTGTTTACCAACTGCAAGGATCAGCGGAATCATGGGGTACTGGATATACTGCCTTTGGCCACGCGACTGGTGGGAGATAGCAGTCGCTACAATCGCGCCCAGAGCGCCGAGCACAACATCATGATCATCGGCGTGCCCAATGTGGGCAAGAGCTCCATTATCAATGTCCTGCGGAATGTGCATCTGAAGAAACGCAGTGCCGCTCGTGTCGGAGCAGAGGCTGGGGTGACGCGAGCTGTCGGGGAACGCATCAAGATCCAGGAGAAGCCAGCCGTCTACATGATCGACACGCCTGGCATTCTGCAGCCTTCGGTGACGGACGACGAGATGGGCATGAAGCTGGCCCTGGTTGGATGCCTACCCGATCACATTGTGGGGGAGGATTTGATTGCCGACTACCTGCTCTACTGGCTGAACAAGCACCGACGCTACGAGTATGTGGAAAAGCTCTCCCTCAGCTCCGGGCCCAGCGACAACATTAGCGCCGTACTGGCGGAATACGCCCAGACCCACGGCATGTTCCATCGCGTCAAGCAGTACGACGGGCAGGTGGAGGTGATGACAAATTTATTGGCTGCTGCGCGAAAGTTCATTCAATTCTTTCGCACCGGCCAGCTGGGGAGCATCAATCTGGACGAGCATGCATGAGACTTAGATTAAGGGATTACATGTTAATTGCTAGATAAGTAAATGTCAAACTGTTGAATCATTGGCTTTATTGGCCCTCAGTCATGGGTACATCAATGGCTATGTTGCCAACGCCAGGAACCGGAATGGAGTAGGAAACGTGGCCTAGATCGGCATCTTCGGCCATTTCCATGGGCACATGATCGGGGATGTGTTGGCTCTCCATGATGATGCCACTGGGTGCGGCTGCTGGCTCTGGCGGGGCCTCAATGGACGAACAACTGGCGACGGCGTAGCCCGTGCGGGCAGCCACCATTCGGAGCTCCTCTGGCACGCCCTTCATCCGCTTGGCAATGTTATTGGCGTAGGGGGCCATCTTTTGGTAGTACTCAATGAGCATCTGGGGATCCTTCTCCGCCACTTCGCTGCTGGACACCAAATCGAATTCGTCGCAGTATTGCCAACGGACCAAATACTTGATATCGCCGCTGACATCAGTGGTGCCCATGATCTCGGCCAGGTCGAGGCCGCGCTCGTAGCCGCGCGCCTTTTGGATTTCCTCGCACTTTGGCTTCTTTTCGCCGCGCTTTTTCGACTTGGCACGCGACTCCTCGAACCTTTGTATGAGGGCAGGACAATCGCAGTTTTCCTCGGGCTCCCATGTGTTATCCGTCGATGGATAGCCGCGCCATTTGATGAAATACTCTACCTTGCCATCGCTCGTTATTCGCTTGTCCACGATGCGCTCCACTACGAAATTGGGCTCGTTTTTCACCATTTTAACAGATTCGGTTCGCGTTGTTTACAAAATTTTATTATTTTTTTCAGATGCGACGATATATATCGCGATGAGATGCGATGGCGAAAACTTATCCAGTCGATAGTATCGAATTTATTCTACAAACTTACGTCTTATTCTTTGACCTTTTTCTGTTTAAACATGATTTTTTTAAAAATCAAAAAAAAAAGAGCACCTAAATTAGCCAATCTTGTAGAAAATTAATTCATCATTCGGATAAAATTATGTATTTAGGGCTAGGGGTAATGGCCAGCTAGTAATATGAAACCGAATATCAAAATCGAGAAATATGATTTCCGATCCTGTACGGAGAAGGCTTAACCCATTGTAGACCAGTGGGTATTAAAATACACTCCACGAAAATGATGAATCTTGAACAACAGTTCAGGTGAAAGATATCGTGTTCATTTTGTTTTTAGGGGAAAAAGTAAGGATGGATATTCCAGAATAATATCCAAACAGCAATATTTACCGCGGTCTTACTCAAGTGACCATCCTGTTTAAATAGAGGCGGGTTAAGTGGGTTAAGTTCGTCCACTGAACTTCTTCGATACCGACGCGTCTTTCGAAATTTAGCGCTTCCCAGGTTCAGGTTGTTTTTCTAATTTGTGAGCAATGGAGGAACTTGTAGAGGATTGGTCCAACTGGAATCCAATGGCCTTGGATTATAGCAACGAAAGCCTTAATAAATACATAGATGAGGCTGGGCAAAATTTTGTTGAAAAAGCACGGGCTCCCTTGAAGCCCAGCGAAATGCTTAAAAAAAATGCGGCAAAGAAAAACGCAACCGAATATCCGTACTTGATTCTAAAGAAGAAAGTGAATTTGATCACCTATTCGGTGGCAAATTTCTTTGGCCCGAAGCATGTCCACAAGATCGACCTTCGGCCCAATTCGGAACTATTCAAAGTTTTCTTCAAAGATTTGGGGTAAGTAGGAGTCGCGCAGTATGAGTGTTTTCTAAATACATACATATCTCTCGCTGCAGTTCCTTGGAGGCAGCACTCAGCCAACTGGAAGTTTTTCCGCATTTAATGGAGTTGCATAGAACACGTTTCGGTGGTCAGGAAAAGTCCAAGTCTGAATACATGCCCATGCGGAGGCCCGGCAACAAGATACCCGATTCACCTAAGCTTCCAGCAATTCTGCCAACAGCTCGTGGTCAAATTGATTTGAAATCACGCACTATATACTTTTCGGATAACACCAATAAGCATCCGGAGTTTCTAGTATTTCCGATTGTGGACTCTTCGTGCTATAAAAGCGGCTCTCTGTTGGCCATTCAAGATGTGAAGAAGCGCTACCTGAATGTGAAGTTCGAGTTTAATTTGGAGCGCCACGGGGCCTATGTACTCGAGAAACAATATGAAAAAGAAACGGGGGTGAAGCCGGTGATCCAGCAGCTGCGATGCGGAAGAATATTATATAGGTGAGAATCGATTCGGTTATGCAGGGCTCTAATACGAATGTTTCCGATACCTTAAACGTACGAATATATGGGATTTCAAACAATGTTCAATCTTCCAGGAACGCGGACGTAGATGATGAGGATGTGAATCTGTGTGAAGATGATGACAAGGAGATTCTTATGTCTGGATTCGAAAAATGCGTGAACTGCCAATCTTACACAATGATTGTGTGCAAAATTTGCGAAATGCCCTTTTGCGATGCCATGTGCTGGAGCATTCTCTCCGAGCAGCACGATCAGAAGTGCGGCACGGATCAGAAAGTGGAGTTTAAAGAGGAGAAATTTATGAAATTGTTTCCCAAGTCTGGTTTGCCGCCACGCCGTTCCATGGTCAAGATCACTGCCTTCGAGCAGTCGAATGTCCTGTATGTGCGTCCGGCCGATGTCGTTTCTGATGTGGCCTACCACCGCGTGCTCTCGGAGGTCTGGAAGCATAGCAAAAATGTACCCAAGCTTGACCAGCCGCCGGTCTGTGGCCAGATTGTACTTTACAAGTTCGAGGGACAAGTCGTTCGGGCCATGGTGCTGAATGTGGACAATCCGAAGGATATATGCGTTGTCTGCATTGATTTTGGCAGCGTTGAATACACTGATCCAGGTAAACTGTATCAATGCAGCGATTATTTGAGTAATTTGCCGCGCTACGCGACGCCTGTGAAGCTGCGCGGAGTCCCAACGCGCGCCTTGACCCCCCACCTGCGGGATGCCATGTATGAAGTTCAGACGGATATGGTTTTCGAAATAAGGTACCACAGTCGTGAGTACGATTATGGCAACCACATGCAGACGGCAGTGCTCATCCATCGGGAGAACCATAGAGCCTTAAATAGCTTTATCAAAAAAGTCATGGCCGCCGTGGAGCCCGACTTGCATAAACTTGGATTCAAAGAAGATGTAAGCATTACAGTTCTCTCAGAACGATGGCTGTTTAAAAACCCTATTTTTCTCCAAAGTTTCTGCCGCATGTGGCTGCGCCACCAGGGAAGAACATAGACCTGATTATCACGGACAATTCGTTCCTAAAGGTCGGCATCATTTACTGCACACCCGCGATTTTGGCTGTGGAAATCACGAAGATGCAGCGCACATTCCAAGACTATGGGGAAAACATAGCCAAAGCTGAGACCTACGCCGCTCCGTAAGGAGGACAGCTGGCCAAAAATTTCTTGATTCTAATCATATTCAATTGTATTTGCAGGAAGGGAGAATTGTGCATGGCCAAGTATATGGGAAAATGGTGTCGCGGTGTTTCCATGGAGCTAGTGGGTGATGGCTATCCCAGCATCTTGTTTCTGGACTATGGAAACATTGTTCCGATCCATGTGACGGATATACGTGCATATCCGGAGCAATTTACATACCCCGTATTGACTACGGAATATGTTTTGATGGGTAAGCGAGCGAGCGAGCGATTCAATGCAAGATTGTTTTTAATTTCTATTCGTCTCGTGTTTAGACCTGCCCAAAGAACTCACCGATGCGCAGACTAAACGTCTCGAGAAACACCTGGAAGTAGGTGCAATTGTGACCGTTGATGAGATTGTGAAGAACGAGGAAAACAATTACTCGCTGCGCATTGAGGGGTTGCAGAAACTTTTGTCGTAACGAGCTAACGAGCTTTTGTATGTACATAATGTAACGCGCCAACTTCAAATTAATTCGTATTTTTAGTAATATTTACATATTAATAAAAATATTTAAATTGTTAACCTTTATAAAGTAATTTAATCCTATATTCTATTAAGGGGCGTCAACAGACAACTATCATTATATTTTTACACGGCAAGGCAAGGCCCTACCTTCCATTATTTACAGAATATCTGTATTCAACCAAAACAATGCAGAAAGCATCCAAAAAGTTGTTCAACAACAACGTGAGTTCCCAAACTTCATGTTTTAAGTTTCATTTACTTTACATTTATGTTTTTCTTTATGAAAATGCGACTGAGGCTCTCTAGATTATTGCTGAGAGACGCATCCTGCAAAAGACAAATAAAAAGATTACAAAATTTACAAAAAAAAAATGTGGGTGCAGTGATACCTCGAGAAAGTCTTGGCTGTAAGGGGGCTCTACATTGGTCCAGTCGGCCAGTGCCTGCATGAAGGAAAATTTCTAGTTATAGCAAAGAGAATAGAACACACGATGCATCAGAAACAAGTTCCAAATTTTTTTGTTGCTTTCTTGGGACCGACTTTTGCTCGTCGTCAAAGACTAATTACGCCTTTTCTGCGCCCCACCAAAGACTGTGTATATTGTGGAATTACTAAAACCTCCAAGTACTCACATTCTTTGCTGTGTCATGAAGGTCGCCAAGCTGGTGATCTCCACCAGGGATTAACTGTAGGCTTCTGTGGAACTCCATTTCCTCTGGGCATCCTCCAGAGGTAATCAGTGTATAGACTTTTGTGTCCATTTCGTTTGCCGCCAATAGCTGTTCGGCCTTCGATTTGGCTTCATGATTGTAAATTATGAGATATTTACAGCGAAGCGAATGGATCTCTGTTAAACGACTGGCCAATACCAATGCAATCATTGGCGCCTGATCCTCCGTAGAGTTAAACGATGCCACATCGCAGGCTTTATCCAGCTGCATGTGCGAGATATCATAAGATCGACAGTAGCCTTTGATCAGCTCCAGACAGTCCTGACTGTTGGCCAGAACGCAGCATTTCTGGCCGCGTGCCACCGCCAAGTCATCCAGCATTAGATACACAAACTCAAATTTGGCCGAGTCGTAGAGTCCCATTTCCTGCCAGGGCGGCAGCTGGAGCAACAGCAACTGCACCGCCTTACAGTTTTGCAGCTCAAGAGCTCTGGTTTTCAGCAGCACAGGATGATCGCAAATGTGTTTGGCCATTTCAGCGATGACATCGATCTCCTAGAATATCAAAAGAGTTAGGACTGCCCTCTGACTGATGCTCTCTTACCATATCGGAGCTTTGGCTGAGCTCACAGAGGAACTGGAGAGCTTTATCTTGAAGTTCTGCGGGTTCCAGAAAGCAAATGTACTCAACTTGTGTGTGAGTGGCAGCTGGGGCATTGCCCCTCTTGAGTAGGGATGTCCTTATGGGTTTGGTGGGCTCAATATGGCCACTACCCCCGACTTGGGTAAACGTGGAAGCTGTGGATTCGGTGTTACTCGGCAGCGAGGCCCTGAAGGGTCTCCTGGCATCGCTGGGCACCGTAGGAGTGGCTACATGGCCGTTTAGTGCATCAATTTTTGCACACCAATTTGCAATTTCCAGTTTTCGATAGGCAATGCACTCCTCGATGGTCTTGAACTCATCTTGCAGCTCTACATCCTTGTTGCCAATCTGCAGCTGATCGTTTTCCTTGAAGTTTCTTTGTCGGAAGCATGTCATGCTGTCCACAACCTTTCCTGTATCATCTTTCAATGTGGCCTTCGATTCGGTTATCACCAGGGTACCATTGCCGGTCCAAATTTTGTGCTTTTTGTTGGTCTGATTCCGCCAGAGCACGTGAAAGATGCGGCTGTCCTTCAGTGGGTTTTCGCCGATTTTCAGCTCCCGCGGTCCCTGGCTTTCGTAGCCCTTGGCGGTGCCCCATTCCATGGTCGGTTCGGCGGCGGGCCAAGCAGCTGGCGGCTCCATTTCTTGATATCCGCGCTTGGCTGCCCTACGCACAGACGGAGCCTGCGAGCGTCGCATTTTATTCTTCAAAAATGTGAAATTTGCATAAAAATAAAAGAGTTGCGGGCTGTCTTGAACGATTGCTACGAAGTTGATCGATAACGATACTATCGCATTTGAATCGCTCTTCGAAAATAATCTGCAATATATTTATTTGTGAATAAAATGCACTTGCCATCAGTTACATTTTGGTAAAAGCTTAAATCAGTGAATATAACTGCTGCAAAATATTAACAGGAGCCTCCTCAAAAGTATGTGATTCGCATGTAAATTTCCGCGCGCTTGAACTATCACCGTTGATCGATAGCAATACTATCGAAAAAATGTTGTATCACTTAAATATTTTCCAGCTGTTATTTGCCATTCGCCCAGGAAGGCACGCAAAATCCATTAGCAAGGGATGGGGTGGGAAGCAGTGCTGGCGACTTTTTATTAGAAAAAAATGCTGGAAATTTAAAAAAAATCTAAAAAAAGTGTAAATAATGGTATTAACGTTATATTTTATAAGTATTTTATATACAGCTCTGTGGGGCTAGCTTCTAAATTGAACGACCATTCATGCTTTGGTAATTATGTGGACCTTCGTAGTCAAACCAGAATTCTCCAAGTCATAATAACCGCTGAATTTCCGAGTCTGACAACGGTATTGATAGAATTTCAAGTGCAACAGCTGCCAGGTCGAGAAATCAGAGGTTTTCACCAAAATCTTTATAGAAGTAAGCCTCACTCAAAAACCTAGAGCCACCCTGGCCTATCGTTCCCAGCTAGCTCACGGTGAAATCAGGGGTGTTTCCGACCTGATAAGCCAGGGGACGGATTGATCAAAACAAAAACAAAAAAAAACATACAAAAAAACAAATCTAATTTATAGGACAGACTTGTCCTCGTTGGAACTTTCGTCAGCGGGGATAGTTGGTTTCGTTATCCCTAGCAGGGTCCCACCCTTCCATGAGCGCCACCTTTTGAATTCGCTCCCTTTTCATATTCAGGGTCCCGCTCTTCTTCTCACTCTCGTCCCACCCAACTACCGTTTTCTATTCACTCATGACTCTTTTCAAATTTTCATTTTATATCAATAATATTTTCTTATTTATCTTCTTGATCATTATTAATTAATAATCTAGGTTTATATAAAGGAAACAAATACTCACACAAAAATACTAACAAAAAAAAATAAACCCTATTTCGGCCGAATTGGCAGCCCCCTTTGATAGAGGTTGTTGCTTCCTGATGCTTGCTGATGTTTTCGTTTAATCGTGGTGTTTTTTTGTATGATCGTGATATTTTGTTTAATTGTGGGTTGGTTGGTGTGTGGGGACCCAAACGTGTCTCCAGTCGGTGCTCCGCTGGATTCCTTGGTGCCGGTGCTCCGCTGACGGTTCTCGCACCAGTTTTCCGGCCTGGCCAGTACCGGGATGCTCCTGCCGATGTCCGCCGCTTCTGCTGATGTTGATGCCTGCCGTTGATGTCTTGGAGGGATCTTCGTCTCCACGATCACCAATTTTTTGTGGCCTCCTCTATTTTCTACCAGAAACTTCCTTTTCTTTCTTCCTCGCACCGTTTCCTTTTCTCCCACGCAACTCTGCCACTGCTTCCCAGGATCCACTATAGATGCCGCTGTCTCTTTCTTCTCCAGCCCTGATACCTATCGGTTCTCTCCAAAACCGCGCATAGCAAGCTGTAGCTAATATTTTCTCAATTTATTAAATTAATATAGCTATATTTGCACTCAATTTCGGAATATTTTTAACTTTAGGGTAATCAAAAATTTTGGCTAATTCCATTTTTCTTAGCGTACAAAATTTTGTTGAGGAAAAAGGTTTAGAAAAGGGAAGAATTTCAAAATTATTTTGGAAAATATCGCTAAAAAATAATGATGAACTGGCCACATTTTCTTAATTGTTTAACCAGTTGCAACATTAAAAACTTTAAAAATTATAAAAAATTCAGAACAGAAGTTCCCGCTTCCCGCCTTTGGTCTTCAAAAAGCCAGATATGACGGGAAAAGAGCGTAGTCGGCAGCACTGGTGGGAAGTGTGAGAGAACCAGAAGCATGGTATCGAGACGAGAACAAGCCGGCACTAGGAAGTCTGTTCCATATTAAGCATTCGTTTGAAACAGAGTATATAAAGGAATCACAGGCGTGGTGCAGGCCCACGCCCATTATGGCGTTCCATTGGTGCGACAACAATTTGCACACGACGGTGTTCACGCCGCGCGACTTCCAAGTGGAGCTGCTGGCAGCCGCGTACGAGCGGAACACCATCATCTGCCTGGGACACAGGAGCTCCAAGGAGTTCATTGCCCTGAAGCTACTCCAGGAGCTGTCCAGGCGGGGCCGCCGCCATGGCAAGGTTAGTGTATACCTCAGCTGTCAGGTGGGAATCGACAAGGAGCCAGCGTCCATTTACACGATGCTCACGCACCTGACCGACCTGCGAGTGTGGCAGGAGCAGCCAGACATGCAGACACCCTTTGCCCACAACTGGATGGACTATCATGTGTCCATTTTGCGGCCGGAGGGGTTTCTCTGCCTGCTAGTTTCGGGCGAGCTGCCGCTGACCAGCGTTGAGCTGATTGTTCTGGAAGACTGCCATGACAGCGCCGTCTATCAGCGGATACTGCCCATTTTCTTGGATCACATATTGCCGGCGAGGCCTGCGGACAGACCGAGAATCTTGGGCCTGGCCGGTCCCCTGCACAGCGCTGGCTGCGAGCTGCAGCAGCTGAGCGCCATGCTGGTGACCCTCGAGCAGAATGTCCTCTGTCGCATCGAGACGGCCAGCGACATTGTCACCGTGCTGAGGTACTGCTCGAAGCCCCACGAATACATCGTCCAGTGTGCGCCGTTCGAGATGGATGAGCTGTCGCTGGTTCTGGCGGACATACTGAACACGCACAAGTCCTTTCTGATGGATCATCGATACGATCCCTTCGAGATATACGGCATGGACCAGTTCATGGAGGATCTGAAAGGTAAGTGTGTGCGCGCTTTGGCAGACCTTTCCGGCTAAGTCTCTCCATTGGCAGATATACCCGATCCCAAGCTGGATCCACTGAATGTGATTGACTCCTTGCTGGTCGTTCTGCATGAGATGGGTCCCTGGTGCACGCAGCGGGCCGCCCACCATTTCTATCAGAGCAACGAGAAGCTGAAGGTGAAAACGCCACACGAACGGCACTACCTGCTGTACTGCCTCGTGAGCACGGCCCTCGTGCAGCTGCACTCCCTCTGCGATCACACATTCCAGAAGCAACTAGGAGGAGACCCACGGCAGACCATTGAGCGGTATTCCAGTCCCAAAGTGAAGCGCCTGCTGCAAACGCTGCGCTGCTTCAAGCCGGAGGAGGGTCATGGCCATGGCCATGGACATGGACATGGGCAAGCCGAAGTGCTGCGCAAGATGCGCCATCAAGTGGAGCAGGCGGATTTCAATAAGCTCTCGCATGCGCTGGAGACCAAGTGCCAGGTGGTGGATCAACTGGAGCCGCAGGCAACGGACGCGCGCACTCTGGTGGCCAATCTGGAGCACATGCTGCAGCATCCAGAGGGCAAACCCATGCCGAGGCGCAACAGCCATCGACCCCTGCCATCAGCAGCAACCACGGCTCAGGTGCAGTCGTCCCCAGCGAAGGGAAAGCACAGCTCCAACCCGCACAACCGTGTCCGGAGACGTGTGTACACGCGGCGCCACAACAGGGACCAGCACGATGGTGGGGATACTCTGTGTGCTTTGATCTACTGCAATCAGAACCACACGGCACGTGTGCTGTTCGAGCTGCTGGCGGAGATGGGCAAGCGGGATGCCGATTTGAAGTTCCTGCGCTGCCAGTACACCACAGATCGGGTGGCCGATCCCACCACAGAGCCCAAGGAGGCCGAGCTGGAGCACCGCAGGCAGGAGGAGGTGCTCAAGCGCTTTCGCATGCACGATTGCAATGTTCTGATCGGTACATCGGTCCTCGAGGAGGGCATCGATGTGCCCAAGTGCAATCTCGTTGTCCGCTGGGATCCGCCGACCACCTACCGCAGCTACGTCCAGTGCAAAGGGCGGGCCCGGGCCGCCCCAGCCTACCATGTCATTCTGGTGGCCCCCAGGTATACCAGTCCCGCGATTGGGGTCGTGCAATTGACGGACAAGAGTCATCGCTTTATCTGCGGCGCTGGAGGAGGAGCAGCCGACTCGACGGAAGTGGACAGCGATTCCGATGACTCGGCCATGCCGAATTCCCTTGGCTCCGATCCCTATACGTTTGGCACGGCACGTGGCACGGTAAAGATCCTCAATCCCGAGGTGTTTAGCAGTGTGCCGCCCATGGCATGCGAGATTAAAGAGATCCAGGACGAGACGCCAGCCATTGCCATGGACAGCAGCAATTCCAGCGACGAGGCCGTGAGTCTGAACAACACCCCGCCCAGTGAGAGCCAGTCCAGTGGTGATCCCAAGATCCCCAGGAAGCGCTTTCAATGTGAGGTCCCGCCCGCAGAGGGCGCTGAGGCCAAACCGGAAGCGAATACCTCGGCCGTGGATGGCCTGGCCAGCACCACAAAGGCATTAGTCCATCAGATGGCCCAGTATCGGGAGATCGAACAGATGCTGCTCTCAAAATGTGCCAACACCGAGCCGCCCGAGCAGGAGCAGCAGGAGGCGGAACGCTTCAACAGCTGCCTGGCTGCGTACCGGCCCAAGCCGCAGCTCCTCACGGGCGCCTCTGTAGACCTGAGCACGGCCATAGCGCTGGTCAACAAGTACTGCGCTCGATTGCCCAGCGATACGTTCACCAAGCTGACGGCCCTGTGGCGCTGTGCCCAGAGCGAACGCTCAGGCGTCACCCTCTATCAGTACACACTACGCCTGCCCATCAACTCACCGCTGAAACATGACATTGTGGTACGTAGCTGAGGCTGAGACGTCTTCCCATTGAGTTCTCATTTACCTTATTTTCTCGCAGGGTCTGCCGATGACCACGCAGACGTTGGCGCGACGTCTGGCTGCCCTGCAGGCCTGCGTGGAGCTGCATAAGATCGGCGAACTGGATGATCAACTGCAGCCCATTGGCAAGGAGGGTTTCCGTGCCCTGGAGCCCGACTGGGAATGCTTTGAGCTGGAGCCCGAGGACGAGCAGATCGTGCAGCTCAGCGACGAGCCGCGACCGGGTACGACAAAGCGACGACAGTACTACTACAAGCGCATCGCCTCCGAGTTCTGTGACTGTCGACCGGTGGCCGGGGCACCCTGCTACCTGTACTTCATCAAGCTGACGCTTCAGTGCCCCATACCCGAGGAGCAGAACACCCGGGGCAGGAAGATCTATCCGCCGGAAGATGCCCAGCAGGGCTTCGGCATACTCACCATGAAGCGGATACCCAAGCTGAGTGCCTTCTCGATTTTCACACGGTCCGGGGAGGTGAAGGTCTCGCTGGAGCTGGCCAAGGAGCGTGTGGTGCTGACGCCCGAACAGATTGGCTGCATCAATGTCTTCCTGAACTACACGTTCACCAATGTGCTGCGCCTGCAGAAGTTCCTCATGCTCTTCGATCCCGATTCCACCGAGAACTGTGTCTTCATTGTGCCCACCCTGAAGACGGGGTCGCCGCCGGAGGGCAGCAAAAAGATCGACTGGCAGTTCCTGGAGCTGATCCAAGCCAATGGTAACACCATGCCCAAATCGGTGCCCGACGAGGAGCGCCTGGCGCAGCCCTTCGATGCCCAGCGGTTTCAGGATGCCGTCGTGATGCCCTGGTACCGCAACCAGGACCAGCCGCAGTACTTCTACGTGGCCGAGATCTGTCCGCATCTGTCGCCGCTGAGCTGCTTCCCCGGCGACAACTATCGCACCTTCAAGCACTACTATTTCGTGAAATATGGCCTGACCATACAGAATGCCGCTCAGCCCCTGCTCGACGTCGATCACACGAGTGCGCGGCTCAACTTTCTCACGCCGCGGTATGTCAATCGGAAGGGCGTGGCCCTGCCCACCAGCTCCGAGGAGACGAAGCGCGCCAAGCGGGAGAATCTCGAACAGAAACAGATACTAGTGCCAGAGCTGTGCACCGTGCATCCGTTTCCCGCCTCTCTGTGGCGCACGGCTGTGTGTCTGCCCTGCATCCTGTATCGCATCAATGGGCTGCTCCTGGCGGATGACATACGGAAGCAGGTGTCCGCAGATCTGGGACTGGGTCGGCAGCAGATCGACGACGAGGAGTTTGAGTGGCCCATGCTGGACTTTGGCTGGAGTCTGTCGGAGGTGCTCAAGAAGTCGCGTGAGTCCAAGCAAAAGGATGCCGTCGTCAATGGCAAGGAGCAGGCGAAGGAGAAGGAAAGCGAACCGCCGCCAGTGGAAAGTGAACCCCCCTTAGTGGAGAAGTTGGCCGCCAAGAGCGCCAACGAACTGATCATCGAGGGGGAACAGAAGCTCCAGGATGAGGACGATGATTTCATTGAGATTGGGACTTGGTCGAACGACATGGCCGATGACATAGCCTCCTTCAACGATGACGAGGATGACGAAGACGAAGACGAGGAGTCCACCTATCTGCCCGTACTGCCAGCCAATGTAAAGTTCTGTAAGTTGAAACCGCAATCTCCGGGCGGACACGAGTGTAATAGATCCTTCTTTCAGGCGATCAGCACACCCGCTATGGGTCGCCCACCTTCTGGGACGTGAGCAACGCCGACGGGTCGCTAAAGCAGCCGAAAAACAAGGGCAACCAACAGCAGAGTTCCGCTGGCAAGGGCAAGGGGGCGGGCAAGCCCAGTTTCACCTTCTACGACTCGGACAACTCTTTGGGCTCCAGCTATGGGGACGATGATCACGGGATGCCGCTCAGCTATTTCCATGGCAACTATAGCTCGGATGAGGATGCTGTGGCGGATGATATCGATGCGGGACGCATTGAATTCACATCCAAAAACGAAGCGGAGACGATTGAGACGGCCCAGGATGTGGAGAAGCGACAGAAGCAGATCTCCATTATTCAGGCGACGAACGCGAACGAGCGACAGTACCAGCAGACGAAGAATCTGTTGATTGGCTTCAAATTCGAGGAGCAGCAGCAGCAACAGGAACAGCAGCAGGCGTCTGCAAAGCCCAGCGTGGACTACGAGCAGTCGATCCTCAAGCTGCAGTCGGAGATTGAGAGCTCTGGCATGCTAGTGCCTCACGATCAGCAGCTGGCCCTGAAGCGGGCCGATCCTGCCGAGGCCCATGTGACCCCCTACTCGATGATTGAGCTGCTGAAGCTGTTGCTGCCCTACGTCCCGGAGGACAAGCTGCTGCACAAATTGGGCGAACGGGCAGAGCTTCAGCTGTCGGATCTGATTGATCTAAATGCGGATTGGGTTAGCGGACACTCCGAGGAGGAGATCTACAGCGTATTGGGCTGTGGGGACAGCTTTGACAACTACAACGATCAGCACAGAATGGACCTTGGTGAGAAGCAGCTGCGATTGCAGTATGCTTCGAGGAAGATCAGTGCCGCCAGCCCCGTAAAGGACGCCCTGCCAATGATCCTGCCCGCGGGCTTCAGCTTTGATCTTCAGCCCGAGCTTGTGGGCCATCCCGGACCCAGTCCCAGTGTCATTCTGCAGGCGCTGACCATGTCGAATGCCAACGATGGCATCAATCTGGAGCGCCTGGAGACCATCGGTGACTCGTTCCTCAAGTATGCCATCACCACCTATCTGTACATCACGTACGAGAACGTCCACGAGGGCAAGCTGAGCCACCTGCGGTCCAAGCAGGTGGCCAACCTCAATCTGTACCGCCTGGGCCGGCGCAAGCGGCTGGGCGAATATATGATAGCCACCAAATTCGAGCCGCACGACAATTGGCTGCCGCCGTGCTACTACGTGCCCAAGGAGCTGGAGAAGGCCCTGATCGAGGCCAAGATACCCACCCACCACTGGAAGCTGGCCGATCTGCTGGACATCAAGAATCTGAGCAGCGTCCAGATATGCGAGATGGTGCGCGAGAAGGCCGAGGCCCTGGGACTCCCAGGAAGCGCAGAGCAGGCAACGCCACAGGCGACAACGGTTCCCCTGGACGAATCGAACGACAGCTGCAACGATTTCAGCTGCTTTATACCCTACAATCTGGTGTCGCAGCACAGCATACCGGACAAGTCCATTGCCGATTGTGTGGAGGCCCTGATTGGGGCCTACCTCATCGAGTGCGGACCCCGCGGAGCGCTACTCTTCATGGCCTGGCTGGGAGTGCGTGTGCTGCCGTATAGCCGCCAGCCGGCGCCTGCCAGCGATTCGGAAAGGACGCCCGGCAGCACCACACCCGATGCCAAGCAAATGGTGACGGTATATGGCTCTTGGCCAACGCCACGCAGTCCCCTGCTGCACTATGCCCCCAATGCGGAGAGGGAGCTGGAGCATCTGCTCAGCGGCTTCGAGGAGTTTGAGGCCAGCCTGGGATACAGGTTCCGCGATCGTTCCTACCTGCTGCAGGCCATGACGCACGCCAGCTACACGCCCAATCGGCTGACAGACTGCTACCAGCGGCTGGAATTCCTGGGCGATGCCGTCCTCGACTACTTGATCACACGCCACCTGTACGAGGATCCGCGCCAGCACTCGCCTGGGGCCCTCACCGATCTTCGTTCCGCGTTGGTGAACAACACAATCTTCGCCTCGCTGGCCGTGCGACACGGTTTCCACAAGTTCTTCCGTCATCTATCGCCTGGACTGAACGATGTCATCGATCGGTTTGTGCGCATCCAGCAGGAGAACGGCCACAGCATCAGCGAGGAGGTAACCAATGCCGTCATTTCCATTCAATATTTGAATTCTTGCTTACATTTTCCTCTCCATTTTAGTACTACTTGCTCTCCGAGGAGGAGTGTGACGATGCCGAGGACGTTGAGGTCCCCAAGGCCTTGGGCGATGTCTTCGAGTCGATAGCTGGGGCCATCTTTCTCGATTCGAACATGTCCCTGGATGTGGTCTGGCATGTCTACAGCAATATGATGAGCCCGGAAATCGAGCAGTTCAGCAACTCAGTGCCAAAGTCCCCCATACGGGAACTGCTCGAACTGGAGCCGGAGACGGCCAAATTTGGGAAGCCGGAGAAGCTGGCCGACGGACGCCGGGTGCGCGTCACCGTCGATGTCTTCTGCAAGGGCACCTTCCGTGGCATTGGACGCAACTACCGAATAGCCAAGTGTACGGCAGCCAAGTGCGCACTGCGGCAGCTCAAAAAGCAGGGTCTGATTGCCAAGAAAGACTAAACCCCCCCGCAGCCCAGGGCCAAGAAGCAGCGATGTGTGATGCCAGATTAGGCTTTAATAGATAGGCTACTTATAAACCGTTCAAAAACACATATGCAAGCAAATTAAAGAACATTTTTTCTAAAAAGTAAAAAGTACAAAAAAGTTATATGACAAAAAACTAGGCTGCAGTTGAGTAGATCCCAATGATTAACGATAACGTTATGGGAACGGGAACGGTAACGTTATGAATCTCTACATTTATACCCGATTCTCAGTCCGTCTTGCTTCACGCCTAGTTCTCAGGGACTATAAGAGATAGAGCAACGAAATTGTGTATCCAGACTCCTGTGATATCGCGCCCCCGCAAATCGTCTGTGGCATCCACAATTTTAAAGATACGAGAAACCCGTAAACGCAGATTCATAGAGAATGGACATATCTAGCAGATTGCCGAATCTATATCAGATCGGATTATTATTACAGCCAGAAGGAACAAATCAGTTTTCATGGGCTACGCAGCGCCGTCCACTCACACACTCTTCGTCGTGCAATGTGTGCGCTCTCTGACGGAGTGGCGTCATACTGACTGAGCATCGGGTATCAGAATGAGCGCGAGAGATTGCGAAAGCAGCTTAGATGCTGTTGAGCCAACAATAATGGAGACCTACTAGAAATCCTTTAGTCTTTACACCTGACGCAACCTTCTTTCGATTATACGACCCGTATTTATGGCTCCTCGACTCTTATCGGAATTGCAAAGGCAAAAACGCGAAGCGATGAAGCAGAGAACTTTAGTGATAGCTGGAAAAGAGGCGAAACATGACTGATTCGGCGACAGTACCTGAGATAATTCCATTTGAAGATATCGCACTGGGAGAGGTAAATTGCACACCATAGTAAATCTTTTTGTATGCCACTTGGGACAGTACACTTTTAGATCCTCGGAAGGGGCTACTATGGACAGGTCTATAAAGCAGTGTGGGGCGACCTGTCGATTGCCGTGAAGAGGATAAAAGAGGGCTTCGAGGACAAGGAATTCAAGAGGGAGGTAAACCAGCTGTCGAAGATCAGCCATGAAAATATCATAAAGCTCTATGGCGTCTCAATACACGAGAGAACAGTCCATCTACTCATAGAGTATGTCGATGGTGGATCTCTGCACAATTTCCTGCATGCCGAATGGAAGCCAAGCTATACGTTGGCTCATGCCATCAACTGGGGACTCCAGATCGCAAAGGTGTGTGTACATATCGACAGATAATAAAAGCATACTGATATATCTCTGCCCTAGGGTGTTGCTTATCTTCATGCCATGAAACCCAAAGCGGTGATACATCGCGACATAAAGGCCCTCAATTCACTGCTGGGGCAGAGGGGCCTCCATCTGAAAATCTGTGACTTTGGCACTGTTGTGGACATGACCAATTCGATGTCAACCGATCGAGGCACTGCCCTCTATATGGCACCCGAGGTTCGTCTCATTATTCGTTATATCTCAATCTGCAATCATTCGAATGAGCTTCTTACCCGCAAAAGGTATGCAGGGGCAAACACTACACCGAGAAGTGCGATGTACATAGCTGGGCCATGACCCTCTGGGAGATACTATCGCGTAGGCAGCCGTACGGAAATCTTATTACCCATTATCAGGTCACAATGGCCGTGATCACAGGTAAGAGAAAATACCTTATATAAGAATCCCAAGTAATTCGAATCCTTTTCAATCGACTAGGTGAACGGCCACCATTGGATCAGGTAAGGGTGGACTGTCCTGAGCACATAAAACTCTTGATGAGAGACTGTTGGGATATGGATCCCAGCAGAAGACACTCGATGCAGGATGTCGTCACGGTCTTGAAGGAGTTCATTACGAACAATGAGAATCAACTCAAGCCTTTGGAGTATGTATTCAGGAATCAGGAAGTGCTGCCCTTATAAACTGTATATTAAGGAATAAGAAATACAGAGATTTGTGTATAATTTCAAGAGGTTTTGAATGAATCGTTTCGTTTAGTTTTTAAAAAGGAACCAGCTTTAATTGATCTCTTTCGAACGATATACAAAATGGGGTTTATGTAGTTCTTGGTACGTTTTCATTGTTTTGAAATGACAAAACATAGTTATTGATTATATAAAATGTTGGTTTGTGTGTGTGTTTGTTAATTGTTCTGTAATTAATAAACAAATATTAAATGTGAACGTTAACGCTAATTTATTGTTACTGGAATATTTACATTGAAATGGTGGGTCGGGGGCTCTGAACAGATTATATGTGGATAAGGAGTCAGCGGGGGAAATACCTATTTAGTTTGTTATTCTCGTTAACTGCGGATATAGGAGGGTATGGTATGCTTAAGGAGTTTATAAAATACGATCTGTGCATACAATGTCTTGCAACATTTGGATCACTAGCAATTAACTCATTGAAAAAAAAAAATAGAATTAAATGTTAAAACCTTTTTAAATGTATGTATAAATATAGTTATATGTATATAAATATGTTTTCTTTTTTTGTTACTTAAAAGAAACTGAGCCTCGAATTCGAATCGAGTGTTAATTGTTGGATACTCGTTGGAAAACCTTAACGTAACGTAACGCTTCGTTTGTTGTGGAGTATAATTGCTTTTCCTTTTCGTTTTTTTGTTTACTTATAGATCCTACATATATCTATGTATAAATATGCGTGTATGCAAGCATAGTATGTATAATTAATTCAATTTGTTTGGTATAATTGTTTTTTTCTTTTTTTGTCTTACACTCGCTATTAATTGTGTTTTTTGTTTCGTTTTTTTTCCTTTTTTCACCGCACGTTCCTGCCTACGATTTGTTCCATGTCTTCTCATATATATATATATACTATACGATATATATATATATGGATGTTCAAGCATATATATTCCCTTTTTGTGTTGTTGTAATTTACGTCGCATTAAAAATTTGGTTGCATTTTGCTTCACTTAATTTCGGCTACAAAAACAAATACAGGGAACAAAAACCAAGACAAAAAATACCAAAAAAATAGATGATCAAATGAATGATTGACGGGCTTAAAAGAAAACTTCATTCCAGGCTTATTCTCAAATAAAATACAGAAACAAAAATGTCACTTACTCATACTCGCTCCATTCCAACAACTAAATACTAAGGACTTACATAAATATAGTGTATAGATCAAAATTGATATGGTTACATCCGTTAAACTGTGGTTAACAAAAGCTGTAAGAAACGTTTATTGTTTTGTCATTCGCAGGTGATATGTTTGGTTTTTTGTGTGTGTGGTAAAAACACAAATTAATAAATTATTAAACTATAAAATATTGATCGTTACAGAGAAGAGTACAACTTAAAAAATAATTGAACTGCTCGGGAGGGACATACATAGCGCGGATAGCTCTTGAGTTGAGTGCTGGTTAAACTATTTTACAACAGGGTAAACAGGTGATAAAAGCAACAAATATTCGAGTACACACACAAACAATATTCGATACAGAAAGAACACAAAAATACAACAAAATATACAAATAATTTTTGAAAGCTTAATCGGCGCGGAACAATGATTATGTTTATGTGTGTGGGGTGTCGTCTCCAAAGGCTGAAGCCATGTCCTATACCTAGACTTCTTTCGATTACGTATACATACATACAATTTCTAATTTGGATTCGGTTCACGATTAGTGGAGAGAGCGAGAGATTACATGATGGGAGTACGGGTTACAATTTGTTATGCGTGTGAGTATTTTTAGTGTCTCAATTTCAGGCTTGCCTTCGTCACGTTTCTACCACTAAAACATTGGTTACACTGGGGGCATGCATACAAGTGTTCTATGTATATGGAGGTTAATGCGATTAGCTTTCTCAGTTTTCTAGCTTTATATGTCATGATGTCATGTGTTTTATACCTTTATAACTTTCGAAACTAAATACTAAATCAACTAATTGGGGTTGGAGGGGTGTTGGATGGCTACGGATTTTTGTTTGATTTGAAATGGTTTCCATGATATACACAATCATAATTATAACAAATCTTGTTCTTCAGCTGCAAATTGCTTTTGTTTTTGAGTTCTTGACTTTCTGATTTGAATCGAAATCTATGTGTGTCTGTGTGTGTGTGTGTGTGTGTGTGTGTTGGTTGGTTGCTATATACTTAGAATCTAAAGAACGACGTCAGGCAGGTCGTGCGGCCTTGCCTAGGCGCGCATTTGGTTTTCATGTACGATCTTCCTCTCCTTGTAGTAGATCTCCTCCGATTCCTTGTCACAGAGCAGCAGGACCACGGCGCCAAACAGGAAGATGGCAGCACCCCAGCCCACGCCATAGGCCCAGCCAAACTCCCAAACTCGACGATTGGCTGTGAACGAAATAGAAATTGAAGCAAGTTCAACAAAAGAGGAGGTTTTTGCAGGGCCATACCCATGGTCAGCTCGCCGGCAAAGCACACAGGATACACGATCAAGGCGGACAGTACGGCCAGCACTGAAAAGTATGTAAAAATCGTCAGCTAAGGATTGCCTTGAGCCATTATTGAGCAGTACTTACAGGAAACAAGCATCACCAATACCGCTATGCGATAGAACTTATATTTTAGATTATGATTCTGTGTTTTTAGGCCCATGCCGGTCAGCACTGTGGCAATGACATCTGTTATCAATGTGATAATGCAGAGCGCAGCCGTGGCCTTAATGTAGCCTGTTCAACAAGGAAAATAGGGTTTATATATGCCCAAATCTCCAGACATTATCTATAACTTCTTACCTACGTCCCTGGTCCAGTAGCAACCTGGTGGATCCTGTATGTTAAACGGCAGCGGCGCCACCGAATCATCCTCAATGCAGTGTACAAAGAGGCCCTGCCGCCAGTCAGCGGCCATCAGCCAGTCTGTTGAGGCCAGGGCCATACACATGAGGGCCACCACAATGACGCCACAGATAAATGCAATCACCTGTGGAATACGAACAGTGTAAGGGTGAGAGTTGTAAGGGTGCCGGTGCTCCATACACATACCTTGAGTGGCCTCGTGATTGTGATGGTCTCAATCGTTGTTGTCGGCGCCATTTTCTCCGCTGGTGGACGTAGTACACTGTTCAAAAGTAAACCAGGGATTAGATGGAACGCATTCCGTGGCCCGTCCACGAGAGAACAACCAACTCACCTTAATATCTATGGATATGTATGCAGGCAATAGGCAGGCTGCCTGCAGCTACTAATTGGAATGCGTTTCAATGCGTTTGCTTGGTTAGTTTTTTTTGTTAGGCATGGGTTTTGTCTGGCAGTAACTCTGGCTAGCTATAACAATCTAACGTTTTAGAGTGTGTATCTATAATGTATGTTAATGCTTCAATTGGCTTTTTATTGCTTTTCGTTTGCGCGTTTTGCGGTTTTGGACTGCGACTATCAGTTTTCTGGCGACATCAGCCGTTTCAACATCTGTAGGACAACAAGGATTATTGTTAGTTTTGGGGGGGAGAGAGAGCGAGATATTACAGCATTCATTTGGGTACAGCGAAGCGGTTTCAGCAGCAGCCACATGCAACAAAACAATTTGACAACAACAGCGACAACAATTATAATTTTAAAAAAGTATCTACAGCGGACATTTGACTAAAGCTGTGCAGGTAAGAACAATACTTCTAGGGTCACGGAAGTTCCAAACACCGGAAGACGGAAGCACTGGTGGTGTTTTTTGGGGGCGAGCAGCAGCCGTACAACTGCACATCTCAATGGTTTCATCATTAATTATGCGATGGCGTGAATGAATCCATATGCATGCAGCCAGCTGGATGTCTAAGGAGCGGATGGTTAACTCTTTAATGTATTCGCGGAACTCAGCCCAAGCCATTCCCCCCCGCTAATTTGTAACATCTGCAAATACATTATATGTACATATCTGCGGACTCTTTTTGCTTGTCAGCGGAGAGCAAAATCTTGAAAATTTTGCGGGCCAGACAGAGATTATTTTGGGTTTATTTATAGCGCCTCAGTGGCGGGCTCTTATGAGCACAAAAACCACATTAATTTGCAGATGGATGAGTATGTGTGTGTGTGAGGGAGGGGGGGCGGGCATGGCAACAGGATCAGAATATTTAATGGCTATATAGGACGTAACAGAGCAGGCAGAATTGGGGCACACAACAACAATAACACGGGCAGCGTGATGATGGCGGGTTGGTTTGTGGGAGTGAAACGGAAGCAAAACAAAATGCAGAGCAAAATACAGAGATTGTATAATTCTGTGGGGTGGGGAATACCTCTCCTTGTAATAGTCCAATGTTACCGATTCGGAATCAAATTCTGAGTAATCGGGCAGGGATTCGGCATCAAAGGAGCTCATGCCACTCATCGTGTAATTGGGCAGTACGTTCATTTTGTTGTGGAAGCTACCAAGGCTGTTGTTTTGTGGCTGCTGCTGCTGTTGTTGTTGTTGTTGTTGCTGCTGCTTTTGTTGTGCCGTGAACTTTTCATCAAGTGGCGACATATTGGCTTTTGTTTATCCTAACAATATTGCACATATGTACACACGCATACGAACGCACCGAACAGACTGTGGTCTGTGGAAACTGCGCTACTTTTTCTCTATTCTCTTTTCGCTTTTTCTTTGGCTTTCCCGTCGCGTCGGGTCGGTCGACTGCTTTTCATACGCACGGAAATACACTTACAGTTTGCTAGAAACGCTCGTGGCACTCTGGTTCTCTTTCACATGGTTTTCAGAGCATTTTTCGACTATTTTAAACGCTTAAAACAAAATAAAAACGAGAAAAATAATAATGTTTTCTTCTCATCACAACAACTGAAAATTAGCGATGAGCGATACCTGTGTACCTGTTACTTGTCACGATTATTTTAGCATCATTGAATGCTGTGACCAAATGACGGCAGCAGATTTATTTTTGAATTATTCCTTAAGATGGAAGAATATGCAAGCATAGATAAAATTAATTATAGATTAGTTGTCTAGTTTCATTCTTTATATTATTTTAAAATCAATCCCAAAAATAATTTGCGGTCTGTCACAGTGATTTATAGCCGTGACAAATGCCATCACAGTTCAAAATCACAGATTGCCTTATAAATGCGGTGTATATCGATATATCGAAAGCGGACCATGTCGTGCAAATGGCGAAATCTCAAGTATAGTATGACCGTACTCAAAATATTATTAGGCCGCACCGAAGAACGTAACAAATTGGCGTCGCGTGGCTTTGTGAACAAAAACAATAGCAGACACTAAGGTCCAGGTGAAATTTCGCCAGCTAATTTCTGACAGAAAAGTGCCGCGGAAGGCCTCCAGACACCATGGCCACAGACACAGTGTCCAACGGCGAGAACTATCACCTGCCCAGCGACGACGATGTGATATGCCCCACATGTAATGTCAAAATCAAGCGCTGCCAGGTGGCTGACCACTGCCAGGTGGAAATGGAGCGCCTGCACACAGTGGTTCCACCCATAAGTACACCACCAACATCGACTCATACGACAACCACAACAACATCAACATCACAGTCTGGATCTGGCGGAAGGCAGCCGTGGAGTGTGTTCCAGCGTGTGCAGAAAAATCGCCAGACCCGACAGCGACAACGCACGCGAAAGCGTCCCTCCTCTCCGCCAGCGCCGGTGGCTGCCCCACCTGAACCATCCACCTCCGCCTGTCCCGTGTGCAACAAGAACTTCCCGCAGGGCCGCATCCAGGAGCACGCGAATGAGTGTCTGCGAAACAGTCGCAGAAACGGCCAGGCCAACGGTGAACGCCACTCCAGCGACGATACCGACGACAGCGAGGAGTACGAAGAGTACGAGTGGGCTGGCCAGAAACGCATTCGCGTGTCCACGCTCGTGCAGGGCGGCTATTCGGCCCTGAACATGGGCCAGACCATAAAGTACAATGGCAGCCAGCAGGCCAATGAAGACGAGGACGAGGATCTCAATGTGGATGAGGACGATACGCAGATCTACGGGCCCACACAGTACGGGGAAGCAGATGTGATTCCCACGGTGGACGGAGAATCCGGTGGCGATGTCTCGGAGGCAGATGTCACGAACTACGTCCGCAGACTGATTTCGTCCAACGAAGCACCCAAGTCGAATCATTCCAGCGATGCTACTGCCACTGTGGAGCTTGCCGTTGAGCAGCAGCCAGGGACTGAATCAGCAGCGGCATCCTCCAGGGAGGCGCCATCCACTTCTCGCTCCACACGGTCGGCCTCTCAGAACCAGCAACTGGTCATCGAGGCGCTAAGGGCCAAGCTGCGCCTCTACGAGAACCAGTCGCAGAGCAAGTTCAAGTGCCTGATCTGCCTCGACGACTACAAGAATCCCGCCATCTCTGTCTCCTGCTGGCATGTGCACTGCGAGCAGTGCTGGTTGCAGACGCTCGGTGCCCGCAAGCTATGCCCGCAGTGCAATTCGATCACGACACCGAAAGACCTGCGTCGGATTTACCTGTAGACAGCAAAAGACGTGCGCCGCATATGCCTACAGCACCGACTGGTTACCCCGGAGGCTGCGTCTTAGCTTATGCCGCGCCCTGGCTTTCTTTCTGCAGCAGCTCTAGTTTATAATCCTATACGTATATTATTTATAATAACTATCATACGTGACATAACAATAAGCAGCATTAAAATGTAACTATTACAATAAACCATTGAAAACCCAATGGTTTCCAGGAATTTCAAGGACTCGAGAGGAGGTCTTTCGTGGCATTACGAGAGTTTTCGAGCAGCACACCAGGAACTGATCAGCAATCTTGCGTCTTGGCCTTGAGTAGATTGCAAGAAATGAAACGTAGGTTGAAGCAGAACCTGGCCGCCAAGTGACTGATTGAAAATCCCCAAGGATTAGGCTTTGATTTCATTGGGAAATAGCCATCAATGGGTATTCAATCCATGGATTTTACTGAAAACGGTTTTCTCTGGAATGCTTAAGGAGTTAAGAGCTGACCCTAGCTGATGCGCCGATGCTCCGATGCTCTTCAATCAAACATATATTTTTAATTCAGAGTTCGTTGGTGTTCAACATTATTTTAATATATTTGTTTGTAAGCCTCCGGCACGGATATAGCCATCAAGTGGGGGCTTTTTAGTTGCGTGAAGATTGAGGGGGGCTCTGGAGTTGCGTGGTGATCGAATGGGGGCTCTGAAGTTGCGTGGAGATCGACTGGTGGCTTGTGGTGCGGGTCATGTTGCTGAATTCTGCAGGGGGATAGAACAATCCTTCTCGTCTTACCTTTGTGTTCTTTAGTTCCTTACTTCCCCTGCTATAGTTACTTATATAGTTACTTACATACTTATATATAGATACCTTAGTAGGGGATTTTTCTTCTATGGATTGCAGTGTGGGGTGAGATCTATCAAATCTGTGGGTCACAGTTGAATTCTTGCTATCTTCTTTGCCTCTTACCTTATTTTTTCATTTTCACATATAATACTATGGTTTTTCCCAATATTGGGTGGTCCGAAACCATGGACTTCACCGCAACATTGTCAATTTGTGATAGGATAGTGGCCTTTAACGCATTGCTTCTGCAGTAAATCAGTGGCGAGTGACTTGTGTTATATTTCCGCATGTATTTATATTCAAAGTCGTAGAGCGAGATCGGCTCATCTAACGATTGCAAAAGGCTTGTTGATCGATCGAAAAAATATGGGTCTTCAAGCAGAATTTTGTTCAGCTCATATATCATTTTGACCATTATCACTTTGAGGATAATTCCGTTTTGGGGAGGAGTTTATTCCGTTTTTAAAGATTATTTTGTTGTGCGTATTTTTAGAATCGAGCATAGATTGTGAAATCCGGAAAGTATGGTTTTGTAATAGTTCACTTTGATAAAAAAAATTTTTAACAATTTTTGAGAAATGATAATCAAAGTTTTAACCTTTTGGAACTTTTTTAAAGTTCTTTTGACCTTTTAGGATGAGATTTCAAATGTACTCCTAGAAAGTATCCAGGGAACTGTTCACAACGAGACCTGAACTCAGAGATGTCCTTAAAATAAAGCTACCCATCGTTTTTCTGTACATACCGTTTAGAGGTCCACTCATGCAGATATCAGTGTATGCACCATACCGTTACACGCTAGAAGAAGGCATTATCCTTGTTCTCACAGATCGCTAGAAAGAGAGAACAACAGAGCAATTAAGTCGCTAATTTACAAGTGGAGAGAGGGCTATAACAGACCGATAGTGGCGTATTGTTAGTGCTGATTTTTCTATTTTTTTCTCCGAGATCAGGGTGCGAGGCCTTCCTAGAAGTATCCATGACTCCTACTTGAACAACTTACAGAATTGTACAAAAAAAAAAGACAGCGACATCTGTTGTGTAACGGGACGAGGAGGAAGAAAAGGAGTTTCCGGTAGAAATAGAACTGGCCGCACGTGATCTGGGAGAAAGCTAAGACAAATTTGTGATCGTGGAGACGAAGATCCCTCCAATATATCAGCGGCAGGCATCAACATCAGCAGAAGCGGCACGGTACTGGCCAGGCCGGAAAACTGGTGCGAAGCACCCCTGACTTCCCCGAGAGCTAGCTGGAAACGATAGGCCGGAAAGAGGTCTATAAAAGGTCTATATATAAATATGTAACTATTTGTTTTTGGCCGTTTCCTCAGCCAATAAAAATATGTGCCGTATTTCTCAAAAACCACCGCGTGAAACGGTCTATTACTCGATAGCAACGATATCGATACAGCACCATATCGGCTAAACAGCTGACTTGGAAAAAAAAATTCATTTCAAGAGGTTTTCTGTTTTTGTCGAATTTCCACGACTTTCTTAGTCATGTCCAGCTCCGGTAGGCATTTCTTTGAGTACTCCAAACACTTGATAAAGCTCTAACTGCATTACAGGCGCCAATCCCTTCTCCCATTTCGAGGAATCCTTCACACAAGACGGCAACGTCTACAAGTATTTTGATCTGCCAAAAATTGACAACAAATATGGTAAGCATGGATCCTTTTAAGATCTCCTTGGATGGCAACAGCATTTCTTAATTTATTCGACAGATTCATTACCCTTCTCTATACGCATTCTGCTGGAGTCTGCGGTGCGGAACTGTGACAACTTCCAGGTGCTGGAAAGGGACGTGAAGAGTATTTTGGACTGGACGCCTGCCGTGAGGCAGGGGACCAACGATGTCGAGGTTTCCTTCAAGCCAGCGCGTGTCATACTCCAGGTAGAGAGGTTTCAAATGAGCGCATCAGTCAAATCTCATTACGTTTGATCTGTTCAGGACTTCACCGGAGTGCCGGCAGTGGTGGACTTTGCAGCAATGAGGGATACTGTCCTCGATTTGGGCGGCAATCCCGAGAAGATCAATCCCATCTGCCCCGCCGACCTGGTGGTCGATCATTCCGTTCAGGTTGACTTTGCTCGCGTCTCGGATGCCCTAGCGAAAAACCAATCGCTGGAGTTCGAGCGCAACAAGGAACGATTTACATTCCTCAAGTGGGGCGCCCGGGCGTTCAACAACATGCTGATTGTGCCCCCGGGCTCCGGCATTGTGCATCAGGTGAACTTGGAGTACTTGGCCCGCGTTGTCTTTGAGAACGATGCCACGGATGGCTCGAAGATCCTCTATCCCGACAGCGTCGTTGGCACCGACTCCCACACGACCATGATCAATGGTCTGGGCGTGCTCGGTTGGGGTGTGGGCGGCATTGAGGCGGAGGCCGTGATGTTGGGACAGTCGATCTCCATGCTACTGCCCGAAGTCATTGGCTACAAGCTGGTCGGAAAGCTCGGTCCCCTGGCCACCTCAACCGATTTGGTGCTGACCATTACCAAGCATCTGCGTCAGCTGGGCGTCGTTGGCAAGTTCGTGGAGTTCTATGGTCCCGGTGTGGCTGAGCTGAGCATCGCCGATCGTGCGACCATCAGCAACATGTGCCCCGAGTATGGAGCCACCGTTGGCTACTTCCCCATCGACGAGAACACGCTCAGCTACATGCGGCAGACGAGTCAGTATTGAAAGCAATCGTATAGAAGGAATATACACATATTAATCTGATATCCACTGCAGATCGATCTGAGAAGAAAATCGATATCATTCGGGAGTATCTGAAGGCCACGCGACAGTTGCGAGATTACTCTCTGGAAGATCAGGATCCCACGTACACAGAGGTAGGTGTCCTTTCTGTTTTGTGCGTTTTTTGTTTCTGACTAACCCTTAAATGTGTCGCTATCGTTTGCAGACTGTTACCTTGGATCTTTCCACAGTGGTCACATCGGTTTCGGGCCCCAAACGGCCGCACGATCGCGTCTCCGTTTCGAGCATGTTTGAGGATTTCAAAGCGTGCCTCACCAGTCCCGTGGGCTTTAAGGGATTCGCTATATCGCCAGATGCTTTGGCCGCCAGCGGAGAGTTCCAATGGGATGATGGGAAAACCTACAAGATACGTCATGGGTCCGTGGTCATTGCAGCGATTACTTCCTGTACGAACACATCGAATCCATCCGTGATGCTGGGCGCCGGTCTGCTGGCTAAGAATGCCGTGGAGAAGGGGCTCAGCATTTTGCCGTACATCAAGACATCGCTGTCGCCGGGATCTGGTGTGGTTACCTATTACCTGAAGGAGTCGGGCGTCATTCCATACCTGGAGCAGCTGGGCTTCGACATTGTCGGCTATGGCTGCATGACCTGCATTGGCAACTCGGGACCGCTGGAGGAGAATGTGGTAAACACCATCGAGAAGAACGGTCTCGTTTGCTGCGGTGTTCTGTCCGGCAATAGGAATTTCGAGGGTCGCATACATCCCAACACGCGGGCCAACTATCTGGCCAGTCCCCTGCTGGTGATTGCCTATGCCATAGCTGGACGCGTGGACATTGACTTTGAGACGCAGCCACTGGGCGTGGATAGCAGCGGGAAGAGTGTGTTCCTGCGTGATATTTGGCCGACACGCAGCCAGATTCATGAGGTGGAGCGCAAACACGTCATTCCGGCCATGTTCCAGGAGGTCTACAGTGAGTGTGAGAGATTCAATAAATTATATTCTTTAAACTTCGGTTTTTTCCAAGGCAAAATCGAACTTGGCTCTGAGGATTGGCAAACCCTTGAGGTCTCCGATAGCAACCTGTATCCCTGGAGCGGAGCGTCCACTTATATCAAACGACCTCCCTTCTTTGAGGGCATGACCAGGCAACTGCCGAAGCTGGGTAGCATTGAGAGAGCGCGCTGCCTGCTCTTCCTGGGCGACTCTGTGACCACTGATCACATTTCGCCAGCGGGCTCCATTGCCAGAAATTCTCCGGCTGCGCGCTATTTGGCCGAACGCAATCTTACACCTCGGGACTTCAACTCGTATGGTTCGCGACGCGGCAACGATGCGGTGATGGCCCGTGGAACCTTCGCCAACATACGCCTGGTGAACAAACTGGCCTCAAAGACCGGGCCGCGAACAGTGCACATACCCAGCCAGCAGGAGATGGATATTTTCGATGCCGCCGATCGATATCGGGAGGAGGGAACGCCCTTGGTGTTGGTTGTCGGCAAGGATTACGGCAGTGGCAGCTCCCGCGACTGGGCCGCCAAAGGTCCGTTTCTCCTGGGCATAAAGGCTGTCATTGCGGAGTCGTACGAGCGTATACATCGATCGAATTTGGTCGGCATGGGTATCATTCCCCTGCAGTTCCTGCCGGGCCAAGGCGCAGAGTCCTTGAACCTGACCGGTCGGGAGCTGTATAACATTGCCCTCCCCGAGAGCGGAGAATTGAAGCCGGGCCAGAGAGTTCAAGTCGAGGCCGATGGTATTGTTTTCGAGACGACGCTGCGCTTCGACACCGAGGTGGACATTACGTACTACAAGAATGGCGGTATTCTAAACTACATGATACGAAAGATGCTGGACTAGATCATATTTGTATCTTTTTTTTTTATATTCCAAGTGCATTTCTAACAAAAATATTTTTGTACTATGTGACGTAATAAAATTTAAAATTTTATATGGGCGCGACTGGGACTGCCAATCGGTTTTACTTTGCGTTAGTGAACAGGTATGCAGCAGTGAGAAACGAACTAACGCGTCGGCAGCCAACCGATGTTTTCATAACAAGAAATCGATACACCATCGAAAATTTAAAAATCTTCCGAAATTTCGTTTTTTATATATTGTACCAAAATTCCGAAGGGGATTCCCCAGTCGAGCATGGCAAGAAAAGGATATCAGTATACAGTTTCCTGTTTCTCAGTTTTTTACAGAGAGCTAACCATAAAAGTACTACGTATATCGAGATCGGGATCGAGATACGCAGATATACAGAAAAGAAATCAAATGAATATGAAAAGATAGTATCCTAATATTAAGTTAGCGAAATAGAGTATACAAAAGTTCATACAACCGTTTGACAAGCAACAAGTGTTCAAATAACATCAACATGTACGAAATGACGTGACATTCAATACTCACTACGTTACTTTTCATACCAACTGACGTTTTATGCTTTGACTTCATTTGTTTAAACCTTATTTTAGACACAATCCAAATAAGGGAGTCTTTGAAATCAACCAATTTTGTAGAAAATTGATTCATCATTTGGATAAAATTATGTCTTCAGCACTGAATATCCTAGCCAGCTAGTAATACTAAACCGAATATCAAAATCGAAGAATATGATTTCCGGTCATGGAAAGAGAACGATTAGCCCATTGTCGACCAGTTGGTATTAAAATACACTCCACGAAAGTTATGAATTTTGAAAATTTTAGCGCAGTTTAGGTGAACGATATCGTAGTCGTTCTTCAAGCAAAGATGAAGGATAGGGTGGTCCTAAAAGAGAAATGATTATTATAATTATTCGTATTGTTTTGCGCGGTTTAACTCAAGTAGTTATCCTGTTTAAATAAAGGGGCTTGAGTGGGCTAAGTTCGTTTCTTCATCGGTATATTTCGGTATTTTTCTGAGGGTTAGACGGTATATTTTTATTGATAAGTCCTCTGTCACAGACTTTTTCCAGGGATTTCTAATTCGCAGAAACAATAAAAATAAATAAAAAACCGCGCGGTCGTAAACAGTGTGCCATCTTGTAGATGGAATCCCGTTGGGAATACGTTGAACGCGCCACGACCTATGGAAATATCGCGCTGTCCACACAGCACAACGTCGCGCCTCCACCTTCGCCCGTGCCGTCGCCACCTCCGACTCGACTCGACTCTGCCCAGTGCTTGTGCTTGGGGGACTCTAGCAGCAGAGAGCACACAGGTCCAGTTTTGAACACATAGATATATATTGCAAGTTGCATACGTCGCGTCGTGTGGATTATGTCATTTATTTATAAAAACACAAAGGTACAAAACCGTTGAATGTTGCACCAAAAAGCAGAGAAAACCTGTAAAAATGTAGACTGTGTGTCCGTCTCTCTGCGTGTGTGTGTGCGTGTGTGTGAGTGAGTGTGTGCCGCAGATAATGGATGTTTTAGTTGTGGCCGTTTAAATATATACATAGATATAGAGAGATATATGTACATAGAATAGTCCGTACGCAAAGTATATGCGTCTCAGCACGTCGCCGATTCTGCGAGCCCAAGACCGAGCCTGACCCCAAGTGTCCCCTCCCCGGAGTCCCCAGGGGCCATTGCGCGCGAGCAATGCCGCTGCCCCTCCTCCAAACTAGCAACAGCTCAAAGAATCCAACAATTTTGGAGTAACTAAAAAATATCAACAAATGGCCACATTCAATGGGAACGCCACCAGCAATGCCGCGGATGTCCTGAGTTCCTCGGTGGCCGCTGCCACAGCAACAGCCACATTTCTAGTGCCCACCACAACGACCCAATCAGCAGGAGCCCACATAGGAGTGCCGCCATCGTTGCATCTTGATCAGTTTGGGGGCTATATGAGCACGGGGGCTGTCACGCCGCTCCATCACCACCAGCAGACCAACTCCTCCTACACCTTTGTGCAGATCAAACGCGAGCCTTGCCAGGTATCCGAGATTAGTTCCAACAATTGCCATCAGCAGCAGCATCAGCATCAGCAGAACCACCAGCCGCTAAACCACCACCAGCACCACCACCACCACCAGCAGCAGCAGCAACAGCACCACCACCAGCAGCAGCAGCAGCAGCATCATCATCTTCAATCATCATCTGCATCGCTCACAGCCGCTGGCCTGGGCACAGTGTCCTCTTCTGTAACCGCATCAGCCACTTCCAAGACCATGTCTTCGTCCACACTAACGACTCTCGTTAAGATCGAGGCACCATCCCCCAAAGTGTCCGATCTAGAAAAGTCAAATGGCAATGGCAGCACAAGTAGGTTTCCCCTCATCTTCCCCTCCTCCCCCTTGGTCTCCTCTCAACGCCATTTATTTCGTTATTTTTATGCTTAGGCAATTCCGTGCCCATTGGTATTGCCGTGGCCCGGAAACGGCCGCAGGAAGCCCTGGTGTCGGCACTGACCAACCCGGCAGCGTTGCCTCTGCAGCAACCACTCAGCAAGGACATGAACTGCTTCGGCATACGCGTCGCTGACTTGAGTAAGTGTTGGACGGGGCCTCATCGGCAGCATCTAATTTAATTTAAGAGCTCCAGATTTGTCTGTGTGTGTATGTGTGTGTGTGAGAACCTCTAATGAGCGCTGGCCAGCCGACCCGTCCCCAAGGGCATCGTTATGATGCTTATAAAGCGAGCGACCAGGACACGGCCGTCGTTCAATTATAACGCTAATAAGATTTCAACAAACATTGAAAAATTCCTTCAGTCCGTCCGTCCCTCGCTCCAGTTCTTGAGTTGAGGGTGTCTCCGTGTCGCCGTAAACACCCCGTCAGAGTTGAGAGGGCAGAAATCATATGATGTGAGATGATGGCCGCCTGCTGTGTGGCTGTCGTTGTTGTGACAGCGGCTGACTCGCTGCGACCCACCCCTCACGAATTCTTTAATATTAAAACGTAGATATTGTATATGAAATATATAAGGAAACCGGTGGTAAATCATACGAACTTCTAAAGCGGAAATAAAACGAAAGTGAAACACACATTTTGCGAAACCAAAGAGAGGTCATCATGGACTTGCGAATGCTCTACGAAGGCATTTGCTATTGAGAAACGACAATCAAAACAGATTTGCCTTCTAATATCATTCTATTACAGTCGAAATTCCATATAGCGAATCTCAAGGAGAATTCGTTATAACGAAAATTCGTAATATAGAGTTCAGTTTTCCGGAATATAGCATTACAAGGTTCTGGAAATAAATTCGTTGTACGGAATAGAGACTGTACCATCTTTTCTAACTTTATAAATTCAGTTTTACAAATTTAGATTCTCTTTAGATTCCAATATCATTCATATATCTAAAAAAAAAAACAAAAGACTAACGTAATTTCAGGCGCTTAAGCATTTCTTGGGACCGAGTCGTGTCTTGAGCCTCGTTCCAGCATTCCACTTGTACTTGGGGGTGTCTCTAAAGACTGTGTATTTTGTTATTAGCTTCTGGGCTCCGACTCAGCTGCCCTAGGCATAGAGCAAACCGACGAACCATAGAGGCGAAACGGAGGCAACATAGGCGGAGGAAAATCGCCGCCATATAACCAGCTTTTAGGTGCGTCATGCAACATCTTGGCCATTGCATAGTCATTGGTTTAAAGAACCTTCAGCTAAGCTATAGACCAGCGGCGGCCAGGGTCCCAGCAGTCCAATAGCAGTACAAATAAGCCATTTTGTTGCATCATGCACATGCAATGTATGTAGTTTCTGTAATGTTCTTCCTCTAGCAGCATTCGCTTGAGCATCTCGGTGTAGAGGATCAACAGATCACCCATACAGGGGATCCATAAGTGGATGTACGCTCTCTTTGAACTATCCGACTCCCGAGAAACAGTCTATATAAAGTATAGAAGAATATATGTACAAAGTTTAGGGCACCAATAGATTCGGTGATGGCTTGTACGCTTCAAAAAAACCCGGTCTCGTGTGTGTGAGCGTGGGCGGAGAAGGGCATCGAAGCGCGAATCTAAAGACGGATTACTCATAGGCAGTGCTCTCGGGTGGGTGTTTTCCGACAACTTAGCGACGGCGGCTGCGGCCCCGAGAACAAGAAGAAGAAGGTGGTTGTCGAGGGGAAATGCCACAAGGGATGCTCAAGCTGTGTAGAGTGAACATTGACTGGTTGCTGGCAGGAGCAGGAGCATGGATCCAGGAACACGACACGATGAAAGTGGTTTGGGTAACATGACCATATGGCAATGGTCCCTGGCCGTGGTGCCCTTCCGTACGGATTCTATTTATATCCACTTTTGGTGGGTAGTTTCCAAGACACAGGCTTACGGGCTGACAGGCTGCCCAAAAGATGGAGTCACTTGTCAAATAATGTAGCAGTAATTGCGTTTTTCAAATGGGATCCGAAGGGGAATACAGACACACCCGTGTATCTGTGTGGCTGTCATTATTTAGATGGTTTTTAATAGCTCTCTTGTAATGTAATGCAATTAGAGAGCGGCAGGATGTACGCTTTAATCGAATTGCTTGTGGAATTATTCAGCCACAGGCCATAAAGGGGGTGGGCTCTGGGGGCGGCTGTACTGCATAGTTCAAGGACATTGCAATATTTTCCGTATACATACGAAACAGGACAGGCTGTTCTTGAAGTCCTGCCGGAGTGGAAAAGATAATTGAATTTTTGGACACGAATTATGTATAATCGAATTTGTGTGTGCTTGTGTGTGTGTTGCAGGTGCCACCAGTTGCGGCAATCTGTACTTCACGGGCAACGGCGACCTGATGACCACCGGCACGGCCACAGCGGAGGATCTGAACCGTACCCCATCGACATTCTGGCAATACCCGAGTGAGTAAAGCACCCCTTAACCCCACCCAGAGCACACAAATGCCACATATCCTGCCGATATCCCCCGTATCGTGATTCTCTATCTATCTCCTCCTCTATTTGGGTTCTTTTTCTCTATTCCTTTTTCGTTGCGTTTTTTGTAGATGCATTACCCATTGAATCAGTGATTTCCATGTCCCCCGCCACGGTGGGCCTGCAATATACGCGGGAGGCCAACCGCGGACAGGTGGTGCTGCTGCCGGCCGCACCAGCAGCGCTCGGTAAGTCCTTGTGCCCCATACAGCATACGACATACGACATTCTGCACTCCACATTGCATGCACGGAATTTCCTAGAATTTCTAGAATTTGATTTCGAAAACTGTATCGCCAAAAAGCCAAAACAAAACAAAACTAATTCATGCTTTTATAACTACGCTTCTCTCCTCCTCTCCTCCTCCCCTCCGACGTGTCCTGTATCCGAAATTCAAATCCAAATCCAAATCCAAAAAATGTCTCCATGCACACAGCAGGCATATCAAATTTTCCCCTCTTAACGCCCACAGATCCGTTCCAGCAGGCCGCGGCGGCTGCGGCTGCCACAGCCTTTGTCTGGCCCTCCTACATACCCCAGGCGACAGCTCCAGGCGGCTCTGCGGCCGCTGCCGCAGCGGCTGCTGCTGCTGCCGCCCTCCAGCCGCCGCCCAACTTGTTCTTCAACTCGATGGGCATGGGTGGCCACTCGACGCTGGGCCCCACGCCGTCGTACGCCTCCACGCTGCAGCTGTACCTGGCCGCGGCGGCCAATGCGTCGGGCAGCTCGACCCTGTGCCAGCACAGCAGCAATCAGCAGACGAGCAGCACCACCACCACCAACTCCACGATCAACCTGAGCCTGGCAGCGGCTGTGGCGGCCAGCGCGGGGGTCACGAGCAGCACCAGCAGCCTCAGTTCGAGCAGTTCGCGATTTCTCAGCCTGGCGGCTGCGGCTCAGTCGACGCCCATTGGATCGCTGCTGTGGCCGCCGCAGGGCATGAAAGTGGAGGACTATTCGACGCACCCTCCACTGCCGCTGGCCCTGCCGCCGCTGGTGCCGCTGGAGACGACGACGACGCGCGACAAGGAGCAGGCTCTGAATCTGATGCGTCTGCCCACGCCCCCCACCTCGGCCACCATGGATGGGGCCACGGCTGCTGCGATGGGAACGGGCCATCCGATGCATCATCAAATGTTTCAGTCGATGCCCGGCCACTCCGCCGCAGCCACGCCGGCGCTGCTGAATCTGTCCATGCATGGCGCCGCCAGTGAAATGTCTGCTGCCGGCACACCCATGCCTGGTGGTGCATGCGATGAGGCGGCGGCGGCGGCTGCGCTCAACTTTAAGCTGCACGCGCCCCTGACGCCGCAGACGCCGCCCCGTCTGCCGGAGGTGGCAATGCCACTGTCGCAGGGATCCCTTCTGCCGCAGATGCAGGATGTCAACATCCAAACGGACACGCCCGTGTGCAGCGAGGACGAGAGCTTGAGCTACCCCTGTCCACCCCTGACCAGGACGGGAGTCAATGAGCCAATGACAGAGGAAGCCCTGACGATTTCCCTGGTCCAGCCACTGGAACTGACCAAACCCAGTGAAGTGCCAACCGAGTGCCATACCCAGACCCAAACCCATGCCCATACCCAATCCCAGACCCAGACACAGACCCAGAACCAGACCAATCCAGTGTCCAGTGACATTCAACCCAGTGCCAGTCATGATTCGGCGGAACAGATCCCTCCACCGCCGGCCATGGAAACACCACAGACAGCGCCCGAAGATCTGACGGGGCTGGAGCTGCTCTCGAACATCAGTACCAATAGCACACCGTTTGTGCGTGTGAAACAGGAGCCGATGGAGCACATCGAGCACACTGCACACTCGGTGGCGCCTCCGCCTCCGCCTTCAATGCCGCTGCAGCCCGTGGTGCCGCCGCAGCCAATGATGGAATTGGAGACGACTCCGCAGGAGCCGTTGGGCGGCCTGAAGCTGCTGTGCGCCTTGGCCGAGCAGCGTATCCAGGAAGAGGTGGTGCAGGGCAGCAGCCTCTTTGCCACGCCCTATTCGCGTACGCCCAGTCCCACGCCGACGCCGCCAGCATCAGCGCCGGGCACGCCCACGCCCACGCAGAAGCACATGCACACGCACACGACTGGCGGTGGGCCAGAGGGAAATTCCTGCTTTGGTTTTGTGCCACCACCAGCAGCAGGAGGAGGAGGAGGAGGAGGATCGGTGTTCTCCTCATCATCTTCCTTTCAAATGCCATTAAGCTCGCCAGCATTTCCATCCATGCAAGGCATTGAGCTGCCCACCACGTCGCTGCAGTCCGTCGATCCGAGCCCCCCGAAGCGCAAGAAGCACAAACATTCCAAGTCCTCGTCCACCGAGAGCCGCAAGTCGGCGCGTTGCAGCAAGAAGAGCAAAAAGAAGCATCGGCGGAGCAACAGCCGCCAGCAGCAGTTTGAGCAGCCGTCGCCGATGGATCTCGAAGACGCTGACATCCACCTGCACGACGAGGAGCTGCAGTCGGAGCTAAAGAACGCCCTGCAGACTATGCATCCCTCTTATGCGCAGCGCTTTGGCCACGAGGTGTTCAACATAATGGACAGCAGCATGCGGATGCGTTTGGCCAACGTATCGCGTCAGTATCGCAAGACGAAGAAGAAGCTGGACGAGATATCCAAGCTGAAGAAGAAGCGAAAGGCTCACAAGTTGCAGCAGCAGCAACAGCAGCCAGTCCAGCCAATCCAATCGCCGCTGCAACAGCCACAGCTGACGCTCAGCTCAACGCTGTCCAGTGTCCTGGGGTAAGTGCGGAGGGTTCCAAGTCCAAGCAAGGCATTAATTAAACCCTATCCCCCTTTCAACCCTTTAGAACTTCATCACCGCTGCGCGATTACAAATTCCCGAAATTCTCAAGCAGCAACCTGCAAGCGTCGAGCTTCCTGCGCTTCCCGGAGAAGACGACACACTCGTTTCCGCCACCGCCGCCGCCCCAGCAGCCACAGACAGAGCCCAGTCCCTTGCCGAACAGTGGCTCAACAATTACCTCATCGTTTGTACGCCTCGAGCCCTCGGCGCTAGACGCGGCCGTTGCACCGATTGCCCCCATAGCTACCTCCATATCCTCCTCCACATCCTCCTCGCCGTCGGCTGCGGCGCACAAGCAATCGTCGTCCGCATCTCTGGTGCGCAGGAAGCGGAAGCTAAAGGCGAGCGACTCTGGTGGCGGCGACAGCGGAAACGGCAACGGCCCAACGGCCCCCACAGAGACCAAGCGAAGGGCCAGCGCCACGGATCGCGAGCTGCAGCTGACCAGCGAGCATCTGTACCGCGACGAGACGCGCGTTCTCACCGACATGGGCGGGCTCTTCTATGCGGGCGTGATGAAGCCGCTGCGACCGCCAGATGTCTATGCCATCACGCTGGACGGAGAGCGCGGCAACAAGTCGCATGTGATGTCGCGCGAGGATATACTCAAGGATACGGTGAGTGCGAGTGTTCATCTCTGTTCAGACAATCAATCAATCAATCTTTGTGGCAGATCCTGGAGCTGGCGCCCAAGAGCGTGGAGTGTGTGCCGGTGGGCACGCGTCTGTGTGCCTATTGGAGTCAGCAGTACCGATGCCTTTATCCGGGCCGTGCCATTGAGTCGGAGACAGCTGTGGAGGGAGTCCCGACGGCGGCAGCAGGGGCAGGGGCAGGGGCAGGTGCAGCCAGCACGCCGACCCATACGCCGGACTTTGTCAGCGTGGAGTTCGATGACGGGGACAGCGGCAGGATCCGCTTGCAGAATATACGGCTGCTACTCAGCGACTATCCCATAGCAGGTGTGTATGCAGGGGGTACTACCAGGGGGCATTGCGGGCCATCCATTCTGCCATCTTTCCTGTCATTTGGTTTCTCGTCCACGCGTGCTGTGTGTTATAGTGGTTGTCTTTGTTCGTGCCTTTATTTACTTCTTTGTTATTTTCGTTGATCCTCCCGCCTTTTGCCCCACATCCAACCCACATGGAACCAGAGTACAACGATAATCCCCTCTACTCAGTAGGCAAGCAGAAGCGCGGCGCTCTGCGCAGTGGGGAGATTGGTGGACTTCGCTGCACTTCGCAGGAGCCTGCCCACATTTCCGGCTGCGAGGACTCGCACAGCCATCACAGTGCGGTCATGAATAGTGATAACACCACCTCACTGGCTGCCACCATGGAGCTGTTCACGCAGCGCAGCGAGAAGAAGCGTCTGAAGAAGAGCCTCAAGAAGATTTCGAGGGCACAGAATGGCGCCGGCGGCGCCAGTTCCCGGGCAGTGGCTGCCGCCTCGAACGAAGGCATAGCCGATCTAGCCGCATCTGGCGATGCTGGAGGCGGCGTCGATGAGGCCGCCGGTCGTAAGCACCATAAGCACAAGAAACGCAAGAAGCACAAGAAACATCACCGCAAGAATGGCAGCGAGGAGCCGGAACAACAGCAGGACTTTTCAACGACAGCGGAGGATGTTCCTGAGCCGACGGCGGCGGCGGCTGTCCCTGCGTCAAATACAAACCGTGTCAAGATGGAGGTTAAAGTGAAGACGGAACATTTGGATATGGAAGAGGAGAGTGCCTCCAATCTGATGTCTGAGATATCCGATGAGGTAACTTTCTTAACACAGTATCCAATATCTGCTTCACTTACTCCCCTCCTTTTTTCGCCTGCAGGCCAAGGGCGAGGATCTGGTCGAGCATAACAACTCCAAGGGTAGCAGCAAGATAGCCGCCTTTCTGCCGGAGCGGCAGCTGTGGGGTTGGAATGGCGTTGCCTACCGCAAGGGGGGCGTCAAGGGCCGAGCCAGAAAGCAATTTTACAAAACAATCAAAAGGGGCAAAGAGACCATCACGGTAGGTCCCTGAATTCGGTTCAGTTTCAGTTCAAAGATTGATTCGAATTTTGCGCGGTTCATTTAGGTCGGGGACAGTGCAGTATTTCTATCGACGGGCAGACCGGATCGTCCCTATATCGGACGCATTGAGTCCATGTGGGAGACCAGCACAGGCAATAAGGTGGTGCGAGTGGCGTGGTTCTATCATCCGGAGGAAACGACTGGCTGCCCAAAGTTGAAGTATCCGGTAAGAGTCTTCTTATTTTCAATGAAAGGTAATCAATTCTAATCCACTATTCCTTCCATTTTATAGGGTGCTCTGTTCGAATCGTCGCACGATGATGAGAACGATGTGCAGACCATTTCGCACCGGTGCGAAGTGCTGCAGTTTGGGCACTACTTTGAGAAATTCGGTGCCGATTCGAAGCAATATCAATCCATATACGATAACAATGATACATATTATTTAGCGGGGCACTATAACCCAAGGTTACAAGTGCTAAAACTACAAGACGATATTCCAACTCTCGAAGAGCTGCAGGATACAAATACTACTACTACAACTACAACTACAACTATTGAGGATTAAGCAGAGTGGACGATGAATCATGGCTAGGCATGGCATGATTAGGCATAGTGCATACAAAACTATATATATACAATATATATACACACATTATACATTATATTTTACTATACGCGCGGAACAGCAGAAAAGAGAAAGCATATATATACCTATATGTATACAAATATTATGTACTTCTATATATATTTTAAATGTATTATGTAGTTCAACAAAAAAAAAACAACAAAAACTCGGAAAAAAACAAACAAAAAAAGGACATTTAGCAGCGAAAGTAAACGAGAGAGTTAGAGAGAGAGAGAACAAGGTACTAAGCAACAACCACTAAAATTTATGTGTAGTTACGAGAAGCGCAAGCAATTTTAAGTATAATTTTTTGTATAAAGATGCTGTAAAACGCGCCAGAGAACGACGACGACGACGACGACGACAAAAGAAGATTCACTGAATGTTCATAAATGTTTACAACAACAAAAAGAAAACGATATGTGTGCTCCTGACTTCCTTACATACAACACCCAACACCCAACCCACACAAAACACAACACCCAACATAATACAATTTACAGCTCCAAAAACGGATACGAATACGGGATACGGAATACGGAAATACACTTGTTAACGAATGCGTGTGTATACCGACATGTTTCAGATGAAATTTAAAACGTGTTTTAATGATTTTAAGCAGGCAACATGCAGCAGCAGCAACTACTACTATAAATGTAACAATTCAATGTGATAGCAAAAGAAAACCAGATGATGTTGATGTGTACAGAGGAGGAGAGAGTATAGGCATAGGTTGATTAATTTAGAGAACAGCCAGGCAGAGAGGGTGTACGTGTACCACTCGTATGTATGTGCGGAATATTTACAGCTCGTTTATTCAAAAAGAATCAGCAACAGCAACAGCAACCATCAAATCAAACACCTATCTATAATTATATCAATAAACTTGCCGGATATACTGAACTAGCTACTGTCTGTCTCTGTCTCTGTGGGCCAACTAAATCCTTTCGCTGGGGGTTTTCCCCAGGAATTTGGCAGGTAAAATGGAACCAATGACGACTGCCGTATACCCAACGGGGATCTCTCTATATAGAATGGACTATATAAATGAATGTACCCGTTTTGCCGGAAGCGTAGGAATGACAAATGCGTGTCTGTCGATTCAAAGAGCCATGAATCGAAGCCCCGGCCTGCCCCAGGTGCCCTCCACCCACTGTCAAATGCGTGCGTTGCCTGGCTGCGGGGGTCACGAGTCACGAGTGTGTCCTGGCATCGATCAAACAATAGGAAAATTTGCATTTTGGCCAGTGCCTGGGCCCCAGGCTATTGGAAATAGGATAGACGGTGGAACGACGGATGCGTGCCTGCGAGACACAATAATTAAAAAGCGATTTGTTTAGGGCCAGGCGCAGGCAATCGGTTGTCTTGTGTCAGGGGGTTGCCGCCGCCGGCCAGGCCCCCCACCGAAAAAATGAGCACCACTCCGAAATGGTACTGCCGCAACAAATCCCAGCCGATGCACACGTTCGCGGAAATCGGCAAATTGGGCCTGGAGCTACGCCGGATTAGCAAACGGATCGTGATCGATGTCAATTCAGCGATATTCAGCGAGCATGTAAGTGGATCTCTGAGCTGCGATCACACGAGACTCAAGGCTTTGTTAGGATACCATTTTGGAGGAGTGCGAGCGCGTGGTGGAGCAGTACTGGAACCTGAAGGATGAGACCAAGAACGCCGACTTTCAGTCGCTCTCCAAGAAGATCAAGCGCAGTCCCTACAACCAGCTGCTGATGAAGAAGTTCCATCTGGTGATGGAGCTGAACGACAGGCGCTTCTGTCAGCTGACCTTTGTGCTCAAGCGAACGGTGGGTCCAGCTTTCTGTCTCCTGATCTGAGTGATGATTCCGTTGATCCGTTTCAGTTGAGTTTACTGCTCCGCAAGTCCATGCAGTCGGAGATGTGGCTCAACTGGGCGCTTCACATCACCCAGCTGTACAACAAGTGTCGCAAAGTGGAGAAGCCCCTGTTGCAGCCAGAAGTGGAGCTGGTCGAGGACGATTCGGACGATGGAGAGCCCAAGCTGAGCGGCAAACGGAAGGAGGAGATGCATGCAAATGTGTGCAGCAACATGTTTCCGGGGCTACTACTCACGCTCAAGCCAATCGATTTTGGCTACGTTCTGCAGGTGGGCTTCGCTCTAGACCTATGACCTTTTAGATTGTGTTTTTGGTTTTCCTTGCAGCTTGTTGCCCAGACTCGTGTGGAGCAGAATGCTCTGGATCTGGTGTTCGGTCTGTTTAACATGGGCGAGCAGGATGCCTGGCGAGAGCAGCAGAACCACGAGTCCACTTCCTCCAGCCTGGAGATCTTGCGCACTCTCAACATCTCCTTTGCCGCTGGCGACTATCCGCCGTACTGTGACTCTGCCCAGGACTGCAAGGCCATGCAGATTGCCGATGGCAATCTACAGCTTCAGGATGCCGACCAAGATCACCAGAGTCTGCGCTGCAAGCATACCGAGAGCTTTCTGCAGAAGGAGCGTGTGTTCATAGCCCAGCTGATAGCCAAGGCAACGGAGATAAGTCCGACCATCTTCGGTGGGTAATCACAATAATTCAGAGTATACATCTATATGCCTATAATCCCCAACAGACAATGGCAAGGGCGGCACTGTGGACATGAACGTGTACATTGTGAAGGGATTGCGCTTGCTCTGGTCCTATGTGGGCATCATATTGGACCACATACTCCTCTGGTGGATAGACACGCCGGTATCCTGCTACAGTCTCACCCACATAGACTCCATTCGGAGCTGGCTCTATCATCAGAATGTGCATGGTAAGGCACACCGAAACAAAAAGTCATCTATTTTGAGCTGCATTTCCTTCCATCAGATATACCGGAACCAGTATTCTCTACGCTGCGCGGCATTGGCGAGATCCTGACTGGCTTTGTTTGCAATAACATTTGGGATCAGCTCTTCCGCCTGACTCTCATATCATCGAACGACTCGAAGCGCCTGGTGGATGCGGTTGTGGAACAGTACCGCGATTACCCCAAGAATGTGAGTGTCTGCCATACCCTATACTTTTTTCCCCCTTTGTAACTGTCTATACTGTATACAGGCTTCTGGAACCCCCACTGGCACTGTGTGGATCAGCATATTCGCGAATCTCGTGAATTTGAGCAATCAGTATTTCTCCAACTTGGAGGCCCACAACAACTCCAGCCTGCTGCCAGTGGCCGAGCAGATACCCATATTGCATAGGCTGGGTATTAACGAGAGGTACTCTAGAGGAGATCTGTCACTTATGTGTACGAACAATTTCAGATCACTCTGTCCACTCGATGCGTCTGTGGGTCACCGAACAGGCCAAGCTGCTGTGCTGCGAGTGGCAAATGGATCGCTTCTTCCAGATTTTGGAGCACGATGTGAAGCTCTGCCTGAATGTATTCATCACCTTTAAACTGCCGAAACTCACTGCCGATCTAAGCGATATCCTCATGCTGGTCTGTGTGGCACTGCGGACCAAGCTGATAGCCGAAGTCAATGCCAATATAGACAAGTTAAAGGTACGGCTAGATATCAATCTGTTTCTTTTCTATCATTCTGTTTGTGCTCCATAGAAAACCACCGATGAGTGTGTTCAGATATTGTCAGCGGTCTGTCGAGTCCTTAGTCTGGCCAATTTTACGCTCTGCTTTCCCTCAGCCAACTTTTGGCAGCGCGAGATCTACAACAACGAGGAGAAGAGCCTGTATGTGGGCTATGTGCTGGACGAGATCTACCTGCCCACCATACGTGCCACCAAGGACATTGTCATACTGAAGCTCATCCTGAAGCTGATCTGCGAGGCCTGGCTGGACTTTATCTTCCAGAAGCGCATTCGTTTCAGCATCAATGGAGCCGTGCGACTGCTCAACGACTTTGACGATGTCCGCGAATGGATCTTGGCCTGCACTTTGCTGGACGAACAGCAGCTGGAGAAGCTGAGCAATCACGAGGTGCTGCGCATGTGCAAGGGTGTGGGCAAGATACTCCTGCGAAAGCCAGAGGATGTCATCTCCATTAGCCAATCGCCCAAGTACGACAAGAAGGCGCGTAAGTTAAGTTAAGGTCTTCGGTTTACCTGTTGGCTGATACCCCATTTGCTCCTTTACAGAGGACGCTGCCGGCCAGGACACCCAGCTGCCATCGGAGATGTTCGTCTCCAATCAGAAGCACTGGCTCCAGCTGCGTGCCAGCGGCGGCAGTGGCTTCCCCTTCCTGAAACTGTGCTGCGGCGATCTCTAGGATTGTCTGGGCATACAAATGTGTTTATTGTGTTGCGCAAAATGCTTTACAAAAAGAGAAAGATCTAAAATATACGAGTATATAGAAAAGGGATGTGTTGGGTAGGGGGTGGGTGGGTTCTTGGAAGGATCCGCCTAGGCGGGCACTTTGCGACTAATGATCTTTACTAGCTCATCGACACGCTCGCTCTTGCCGGTAAATTGTTTTGGATGCGGTCCAATCATCTGAATGATCATTGGTACGTCTTGCGAGACCTAAAAACAAAACGAAGAATAATGAAAAATATGCCAATTGTTGACAGCTGTCAACGCGAAATGGGTATATGGGTCAATACCTCGATGAAGCGTGCGAGGGCCTTCAATGTGCGGTAGATCTGATCTTCGTTGGGACTGCTCTGGAAGAACTGCAGAATGGCCATGGCCAGCTCCACGGCGATGTCATCAAAGACCTAATAAAACCCGATCAGATATTAGTAGAGTACTTCTGACGCTGGGGCTTCCTTTCATACCACAGTCTTCACTTCCTTGATGGCAATATTGTAGAGGATCATGCTGCCAATGTTTTTCAACTGCGGGCAATTGGAGAGGATGCAGTGGACGGCCACCTTGGTGGTGACACGTATATTGGAGGTTGTCTGGCCATTGTATTCCCACTCGGAAATGTAGAGCAGCCATTCGGAGGGACCAACGTTCTCAAAGAGGTTGCACATCTATTGAACAGATCATAAATATGTATATGGGATAGAAAATGGTTGCTTTTTGCCCTCTACTCACAAACATGGCCCAGGCCTGCTGCTCCTCGGGTGTGTGCTTGTCAATGTCCTGGGCAAAGTTCATCAGCGTATGATCCCGGCGATCCTGGTGCAAAATAATGATCACATCGTCCTTGAGGGCCGCATAGGCCAATGTCCGTATCAGATGTATCCGTGTGTCTGGGGAAAAGGCCTGAGTATCGCGCAGTACTCGCTGCACGAAGACCAGAAAATTGTCACCCAGTGCCCAGGAGCCATCGTCCTCGATCAAATACTGATGCAGCTCCTCCATGGCCACCTCCTCCTCTTTGTAGATCTTGCCATCCAGCAGTTTCACTAGGCTTTCTAGTTCAGTCTTTATCTGAGACGAAACGATACCAATACCATTTCAAATCCCTTTCCTTCTTCTATTTTAAATGACTTACATCGATGTCTTTGCAGACCAGCGCCGGTTCGCGCGGTATCTCTTTCTCCTCCGTGGACTTGGAGCGCTCCTTGCCATTTTGCGGCTGCTGTTGTTGGGCTGCGGGCTCTGACATCTTTTGTCTATAAATAGGCGAGTGAGGAAATTAATAAAATAAATTTCTGTATTTAAAAATAAGTATCTACATATGTGGATGGGAGAGGGGCCTGCAGCAGAACAGGCCATACGCCATTATGGCCATTAATTGTACTGCTTTTCACCTTTTTATGATGTATGCTTATTTTTTTACGATCCGCACGGCCTCTTCTTTCCATCTCAATGTTGTAATTTAAAGTCCAATTATCGTGCGATCGTGCCGAAATGTTTACAATTTCGACACAAGAAAATATGCGAGGAATTCCCATTTTTCATATGGTAAACAAAGAGGCGGAAAAACTCTCAATGTTGCAAAAATGAACAACGATTTGGGCAATGGGTAAACGGGGAAAATGGCAAAAGCCGGCGGCGACAGCAATTGGTAGAGACAAAACAGGACAGAGAAAACGTTGTCAAACCGAAGTGTGACAGTAAAACTGAGAAAAACTCAAAATAGCCGCGGTATTTATAGGTCTTTTACTTTACGTAGACAAAAAGCCAAATAACAAGGTACAGAAAATTCGAACAGGCAACAGGAAAAACCTATGCAATGCGATACAGAAGGGCCATGGTATGGCATCTCTACTGCACTTATGGATACTCATAATCGTATTATGCATTCGAATTACGTCAATTAATTAGCTTAACTTATACTTTTCCAAATTACTCACATGCTATTTTAGTAGAAGTGACACAGAAATTCCTTCACTTTCGACACCGATTCCGGTCACGGAAAACCGAACAAAAAAACACACACAAAAGGCCAAATCGGAACGTGGCACAGAGTTGCGATTTGTTTATACGAAATTTTACAATATTAATTTATTTTTCCAGATAAAATTTATTTCTATGCTGCTGGGGGCTGTTGCGCTTGTTGCAACTTTTTCTGAGGAGTACGCGAACCGAACCGTTCCCACAGAGAATCGATTCGAAATTGCCTCTGTTTTAGCCGAAAAATCCCGTGAAAGTCTCTGCTGGTGTGGAAATCTTTTCGGAAAATGCACACTTGGCCACGAGAACGTGTGTGATGTACATAGGCATCGGTGAGTATGTTTTCGTTTGCTTCGCATCGGGTTTTTTATAAATAGACGGTCGGTTCTCTCAAATGTGTTCTGCCTATGCAGCTACACTGCTCGAAAATCAGTGGAGATGCTTATGCTCTTTAAGAATTTCAATTTAAATACCCCCCCTGTATGTTGAACCCTTGGCAAGGGCAAGGACCAAGCGCCAAACACCAAGGACCGCAAACGTCAATGCAATGTCGTTCGACTGGGGAATGGGGGATGGAGGGGGGCCATCGTAGAGCTGGGTAAGGTCGGGAAAAACACAAAAAGCTATTAACTGGCAACCAAAATACATTCAACGCTCCGCAGGACGTCCTGTCACACGCTGAAAGCAACAAGTCTCACATTGCGTATCCGACATGTTGACCGAGGCCCAAGCCAGCGCTCCATTCATTTGGCTCTCGAGTGTTAAGCGAATCGGGCGTTGCTCAAACTATAAACGGATCCTAATAATTCACAATATTTTTCATTCTGTCATCATCATGAAGAGTTCTCTTAAAATGTGCCTGGGCCTGGTGGTGCTCCTGATTTGCATGCTCTCGGGCAATGCATCGCTGGAGAGGGAAAACAATGAAGTGAATAACTTGGCGAATGTGAGTTCAACACACTATCAGGATGTGTCTTAGTTCGTTTATTTAGGGAGTTAAACAATGAATAATGCGTATAAGATATGGATCAAATGAAGCGTCCCTGAACTTCACAATCTAAGCTGATAGCACAAAATATTTCATCACCGCTTGTCTATAAGTGAAATTGCACAGTTGTGATAATATTTCGTTGGGTTTGATGGCATTCCATAAAAGAAAATCCCCTGCCGCGGTGTCAGAATTTCACAAAAAACCATTAAACATAAGTGCAGCTTTTAAAAATGACTCAATTGCAGTCCCATTCAAATCGTTTATGTTTTTCTTTGCACAGCACAAACTCAGCGGAGTTATACAGTGGAAGTACGAGAAGCGACCCTTTTGCAATGCCTTCACAGGTAACATTCCCAAGAGTCCCAGATTTCCAGGTGCATTTCATCCCATTCCCATTCCAATATCTGCAGGATGTGGACGCAAGCGTACTTCGTATCCCTCGTATCCGCCCTTTTCGCTGATAAAACGCAACGAGCTTGAAGAAAAGCCCTATAACAATGAGTATTTGTCGGAGGGACTGAGTGATCTGATCGATATCAATGCCGAGCCAGCTGTGGAGAATGTGCAGAAGCAAATAATGTCCCAGGCGAAGATCTTCGAGGCCATCAAGGAGGCCAGCAAGGAGATCTTCAGACAGAAGAGCAACAGACAGAAAATGCTGGAGAACGGACAGCGGCTACAAATGCAGGAGGAGCGTGAGAATATTTAAAGGCCAACGAACTGACGACCCCCCCACGCCAACCCGCCACGACACCACATCGATAGTTATCACAACGGTTCTGTTATTGTATATAATACATACATACATACACTATATATCTATATATTTGACCCTGAATTAAGAGAGAGATTCTACATTGAAAGCATCCAATAAAAATTGTTGACTTGATGTGGACTGTGTTTTGAGTGTTTTTTTAATGGTCCGGAATAAACCTTTGAGAGAATCTAAATGGTGATGGCACAGTGTTAGAAAATGAGAACTTTATAAGAGATACAATTAGTTTATAGGGCCTGGTTGAGTAGGTCTTATAACCACCTTCTGAACTGGTAAAGCAAAAACTTTAATAATAATTCAAAAGCCGTTTTTGGGTGAGTTTTTGCACGGTATATACGATATTATATATATATGATATGTACCGCGCCGATACTGACAAATACTTATGGATCAAAAACAGAAAGATCGGGCCATTCATGTGATGTAAAACTAGGTTTCCACAAAAAGGTTTCCATTCAAACAAAACTGGAAATTTCCTGCCATTTTTTTAAAGGTTTTCCAACTTTGCAATATCTTTATAATATCTTTTTGCAGGGTAAGATATTTTTTTAATATTTTATTTCATTAGGGGCGTTAGTTACAAACCAAATAAGCTACTAATCATTAAAATTGTTCAAAGACTGATAAAGTTATTATATTTTTAGTAAATCAACTTGTGTTGATACTTTCCAAAACTTGATAAATCCAAATCTCGTATAAAAGTAACACAAGAATTCCCTGTTTCATTCAGGAAGCCCAGACCTAAGTCCTACAATAGCTATGTACATACGTGTACCATTCTTGCAAATACAGACTACCATTTACAGAACGTGTACCAATGGAACCGTTTCTCGAAAAGCCCCCACCCTGCAGACCCCACAGCCGGAGCTGTTTGAATATCATTATAATGAAATGATTGGATAGTTATCACAAAGATTTTATTACATTAGTACATAATACAAGTAAATAGTACGTATATAAATATAATTAGAAATAATTTAGTTGGCAGGCACACTACTGACATTGATATTTTTTTTGTTTTTTGTTTGATAATGCTTATCGGTAGTCGCTTTGGGAACCAGAACCGTTGATAATGATAAGACCACCTAATCATTTCACTGCTATCTTAATCTGAATAATCAAAGCAAATCGATAGACTGGCGCACTGGCACTGGTGTAGAATTTCATAATTATGCATAATTTTGGTTCACTTGGGCAGTCTCTTGGACAGACGCACCTTGACCCCATTCTTGGGCAGAAGGGCAATGCCGCTGTTCTCGAACTCGAGCTGGCGTTTGCTCATCACTTCGACGTTGAAGTTCTTGAGGACATTGATAATGGCCAGCTTGGCATTCACGAGTCCCATGCGCTGGGCTATGCAGATCCTGGGTCCTTCGCCGAAGGGCATGAAGGCCGTGGGACTGAAGTTGCGATTCTCCTCCGAGTAGCGATCGGGATCGTACGTTTCGGGCTCCGGGAAGTATTCGGCGTCGTGGTGTATGCCATAGAGAGAGATGACCACCGGAGTGCCCTTCGGGATGACATGATCGGTGTCCGGTACGGTGTAGTCCTGGGTGCATTCGCGATTCAGCATGGGAAGGCCCGGATACTTGCGCAGCGACTCCTGCACGCACAGATCAAGGAACTCCATCTTTTGCAGCGCATCGTAGGTGATGTGTCCATCGTTCTTGGCCAGTGTCTCGTCCACCTCGGTCTGCAGGCGCTCCAGCAGTTCCGGATACTGGGCCAGCTCGAACAGAACGAAGGCAGCCGTGGATCCGGTAGTCTCCTGCCCGGCAATGTAGAATATGAAAGCCTGAGCCGTGATGGCCTCCAAGGAAATGCACTTGATTTGGTCTGAGATCAAAAAGAAACTGCTTCACACAACTGTGTTATGGGAGACGATGGTCAGGCACTCACCGGTAGCGGACTTCTGTATTTTCCATATGTTCTCATCGCTCTCGTCGACTGCGCCTGTATTCCTCAGCTCCATGAGCAGCTGGAGCAAGTCCTTGCGCACAATACCATGCTTTTCGCGGTACTCGATGGTCTCCTTGACAATTTCCAGCATTGCCAGGGCCACCTGGTTCTTGAATCCCAATGAGAACAGGAATTTTGCCACACTGCAAATAAACAAACAGCTCTTTAGCCCTGACTCGGACTGGGATGGGATTGGCATGGACTTACGATGGCACTAGGAATATCATCATTCCAAACATCGTCGTGAAGCGAGTGTTGCGGCGTGCGATTGTCACCAGATTCCGGAACTTGTTGTCCGGTGTCAGGTAGCTGTTCATTTCCAGGCCAAAGATGGTCGACGCAATTATGTCGATGGCATAGGTTTGCATCACGGTCTTCAGATCAACCTCCTGGGAGCCCTGTTCCGGTAGAGTCTTCTGCAAATGGTTGACCATATTGTTGGCGATCTCCTCGGAGGTGCTGAACATTCCCTTGAGCTTGCCGGACGTAAAGCAGGGGGACAGCTTGTGGCGCATGGAACGCCAGCTCTGGCCACGTAGGGCAAATATCGAGCCGGACAACGGATCGTTGACTTCATCGACATACACGCCCCGATCATGGAAGCTGGCGAAATCCTGAGCCAGCACACGTCGTGCCAGGGCCGCATCGCGAACTAAAACAGCCGGACGGAAGAGCAAGTAAATGCCCAGAAAGCGTTCCTTGCTCTTCTGATATGCATCGTAGATGGCCATGCCCATGCCCTTCTCCCGCCGCCAGACACTGTCCAGACATCCGAATGGTATAGTGGAATGCCTATCGAAGGGAAAGCCGCGCCGCTCCCAGTACTGGTAATGGTGCTTCAAATAGAACCAACCCAACGCCAAGAGGGTGCCCGCCAGCACAATGAGGGAAAACATATTGCAACTGAATCTGATTCTTTCTGTATTCTCCAATGCGACGTAACTCGAAGCCCGTTTATAGTCAACTGAAGCGTTGCTCAGACGACTCTTCATTTATAGAGGGAGCGATTCCGTGCCTTAATCGACTCTGTCGGGGCAGGGCAGCGTTCTCTTTTCATAGATAAGCTTTGTAAAGAGCGATAGGTGTGGCGAAATTAAATAAGAGAACCTGTTTGCTGTTCGGAGTAGAGCTGCGTGGCCTTTGAGTATAAAACAAATCTGTATTTCAATTGATCGCTACTTAAACGAAAACCTTTATTCCACAATTTCTACGATTCGGCTGCTCCGTTGCGGAGATAGAAATGTCTTGAGGGATCACACAATAATACAAAAGTTTCATTTCGACTAAAACACTTCAGGGGGATACATTTCTAGCATGTATAAACGGTAGAAAATATTCATCCATCAACAATAGCACTTAACTAATAGAAAAGCCTCGAAACTACAGAATGCTACGTAATTTTTTTAGATATAAATACTCCTCTGGGTCAAACTACAGCACTTTCGCATCGATAATCTCAAATTTGAGGTCGAACTGCTGATCAAAGCCCATCAGACAGTCGGACATCATATACAATGTGAGCTGCAGTCGGCCACGTCGCGGAGTGGCCTGAAAGGAAATGCGATTGGTGGTGCGCTGTCCGCGCACCGTGAGGCGCTTCATTGCCAGAAGCTCGTCGTTGGCCTGTGAGCCCAGTGTCAGGAACCAGGCCTCGTTCTTCGGCTTGGGATACTTTGGACAGTGAACCGTATAGCTGCCTTGTCCGCCGGCTCGACGATGCCCGCTTCCGCTGACATTCAGACGCTGCAGATCAATCCTGAGGACATAGTCCTCGTTCGCATGCAGCTGCATCCATGTGTTGGTCTCCTCAAAGGGCAGCGGTCGCTTGGCGTACTCCTCTTCCATAAAGCGACCTTCCACGGATATTTTTAGCGCTATCTCAGGCAGATCTTGGATGACCTGAAATGGTAAAGGTTTAGAGAAAAAATCTATGGTGGAAGGTGACAACCAATGCATACCTTGTACATCTGCTCAATCTCGTGCTCTTCAAAGGCATCACGCAGCGGTGCAGCCAGCACAGCATACTCTTTCCTGCACAGCTCTTTCAGAACAGGGAGCGTCAAATAGTCGTGCTCCGCATGTGTGATGTTCAAGAAGGCATCCACATTATCCTCATTTACATTGGGTAACGTGAGGAATTCGCTGGCATCGAACCAGCGCGCCTGGATTACACTCTGCATTAGCTGTTGCACCACCAATGTGGTCGAGAGCCAGCCACGCTCCGCCGTGTAGTCCACCATGGCCTGCATCACACGAGTGGCGTTGTCCAGAGCGGACTTTGTGTCCGTCAGGTAGTCCGAATTGGGCAGCGAGTGCCGCGAGAAGTGAGCCTGCAGCAGTAGGAACGTCTTGGTGTAGGGCGAGTCCCAGGTGCCTGACGGCGGCCTGTAGCGACTCGTTTCGGCCATCTGCTCGTTGTACTTGTCCTCGTTGTGACGCACTGGCTGCTGGTCAAATTCGTAGGAGTCGGCTATGGCCAGGAGCACCTCCTTGGTGCCCATTCCTGGCTGGAGATCTTCCAGGAAGTGCTTCATTGTGCGGTACGACAGATAGTAGTAGGAGCTGATTCGCCCCAAGAATGTTGGCACCAGGAAACCGTCGCGCTCCACTAAACAGGCGGCATTCGACAGCTCGTAGATCACTTTCTCCACCAGACTCGACATGAATGCATTCACATTCTCGGGCTCCACGCCCTCCAGTTGGTAGTACGATGGATTCCGCAGCAATCGCCTGAAGAAGTACGTCCACGTAAGATAGTCCAAGGCTCCCTGCTTCGTCTGCACCGTGCCAGCCACGATCTCGGCGTTAATGTGCTCTGGCAGTACGCCCAGCAGACTGGACTCCACGGGGAATGGATCGTAGAGGAATTTCTTGTAGAAGTTTTTCTTCTCGTCATGCACTAGGACAACGGCAACGCCCTCGTTGTCGAACTGTGGCCGTCCGGCACGTCCCATCATCTGCAGGACATCCGTAATGGGCATGTCCACGTACTTCTTCACCTTGCCATCAAAGTACTCGGTGCCCTTGATGACGACCAGATGGGCGGGCAGATTAACGCCCCAGGCGAGCGTGGCGGTGGCTACCAGCACCTGGATCTTGCGGTTCAGGAACAGCTCTTCCACACACTTGCGATCCTGCTCTTGGAGGCCAGCATG